AAGCTGCAAAAGCGACATGACACCAATGTATCCCGATAGCCTCTCAGCCTTGCGTCCCTGATCCATAATGGCACCTACATGATACCCAATACCAGTGGTATTAGAAAGGACATCTTGTAATAGCACTTCACATGAGATATGGTAATACCTTTGTAATACGAGATACTACCACCAAAGCAAAGCAGCAAGATTGCGTTTGATATCAGATCGATGAGCTGCAGTTAAAGCTTGTTGTTGAGCGGCATTATCACCCGTAAGGAGAAGGAGAGCACGTGTGCCTTGAAACGAGTGATTCTTGGTTTAATGCCAAAAACCATCATCATCCTTGAACGAATTGTCAACCCTTGAACCAAGTAGCTGTTGTGATATGGATACAAATAGAGATCTGAACGCATGTGAAGTCAAAGAATAACATGTATTAGCAAATACGAAAGCAATGTCTGTTTACTTCCATACAAACCATGCACCACCAACACGAAGAGTATGTACCCAACAAGGAATTGTTCCATAATCCATCTTGCAGCAAGGTAGCTTGTTTTTGTATGCCCTCATCCGCATTCGAAAAGAGTAAACAATCTCCCATTGTGCGTTGCGTAATAGATATCCACGTGCTCTGCATGGTCCATGCCGAACTGTCATATTGCACAAGGATCATTCATCCATATCACCAGGGATCAGCAAGTCGCAATAATGACGCTGTTTGCTAAAATCTCCCTTTGGTCCATCCGCCATCAGTCCAAAATCCACCCCATACGCTGTGCACCGTTATGGCCTTGAATGCATACATCATTGGCAGTGGAGGCCTCTCGTCATCCTCTGGCGCTGTTGTGGACGACTCACGTGATCAGCTCGCAGGGAAAACGTGATGGTGTTCATTCGAAGGACCATGGCAAGCAACAATGTCAACCCCAACGAATCTCTTTGCTGTGCTCCTTTCAAATCCCCTCGCATTTCCTGATCCAAGCAGCTGTTGACCTCCTTCAAAACGATCGGCTTGCTGATTCCTCATGACATTGGCCATGTCGACATTTCGAAACTCAAGCATTCTAAAACGGCTCGGGTATGAGCTCACACTGGTGATCAAGCCAGCATGTCTTTCAAAGCAGCCACCTTCCTTTCCAAACACGACATCGACTATCGAACCGCATGTTGTCTTGCGATCGCTTTCAGGTTGCCGTTGGTGCTGAGTTTTTGGGTGACGCAGTGAAGAAGAGCTGAGCCCACTGAAATTCGATGCCCAGTTGATCCCAAAATGGAATCCACTGCGGAGCCATAATGTTTCCATGGCTCCCACACACGCTATTAATCACCTACACTATCACCATGCCCACCACCAGACACTCAATACCAGCGTTCCCAAGCAATAGCTACCATTATTATGACGCCAAGCTCTCATAGAATATGGGAAAGATACATTGTTTTATTAACAGCTTAAGTGTATAAGAGAAGATTGTCCTAATGATACTGTTTATGGTCTACTTGCTTCATTCGCTCATCTCTCGGTAAAATACAGGAGCTGGAACCTACCCAACGTGCGAAATAGCCCAAGAGTCAAACCAGAAAGCAGTAGTTAATGTGCCCACAGCTATCAGTGGAGAATAAATGAGACGTTAAGGTGGCAATTAATAGTACTGTGTGGGATACAAGTCATAAGGGGTGACGGGGGTGCTATTTGAAGGCAACTACTTTCATCCAATCAGCGGGGTTGGGTATTGTGTCATCGACTTGTGGGTCCCTTTTCCCTTTAAATATAAAGAACGTCACAAAGGCAATTGGATTTGAAGATAAGATAGTGTTTGAAAGTCACAAAAGGCATTTGAATTTGAAAGTAAGTGATCGTTTAAAAGATTTATTGAAAGTCACAAAAAAACTAGCTGTGCCAACTCTTAGCCCATCATAAAGATGGTTTCCAGGCGTGACCACGAGGAGGTGGTTGGCAATCCACGCCCTAGTTTAAGGTCGTTTCGGACCATCTATCCTAATACTAAGCTAAAGTCGTGACCGTTTTCGTATTCGTATTCGTATTCGTATTCGTACTCGTATTCGTATTCGTATTCGTGACCGTGTTCGTAATCGTAATCGTAATCGTAATCGTAATCGTATTCGTGACCGTGTTCGTAATCGTAAAACCGTATTCGAAACTCGTAATCGTCAAACTCGTAATCGCTCGTGACTGAAAGTCGAGTGTTGAAACAAAAATTGTGAGCGAAAACTGTTTGTCGAAAACTGAATTCCGAAAATCGTGAGGAAAACTTGCTGTGGAAAGCACTTTCTTATATAGTTTTTTGGGGTGGCGCAGCAGCTTCAAAATGTGACTTCGGCCACAAGGGGACGAACCAATGGTTGCGTCCTTACCAGTACCCTGCTCTTTTTCGTGAGATCGGGAACTGGAACAGAACCAATCGTTGCGTCCTTCCCAGTACCCTGCTTTACTTTGTGGGATCGGGAACTGAGACAGAACCAATCGTTGCCATGCTCATGCGTCCTTGCGTGTGCGTCCTCAGGTATGCCTTTCGCTCTTTGTGCAACCTTGGTCTGGTAACCTTTTTACATACGCTCTCTCCCTCCATTACATGAAACCTCTCAAGTCAACATACATTTTACCACTAGAAAAGTGGATTCTGCTCGTCGAGGCGATTCGAATGGTATCCTATTCATGATGATTCAGCTCACTTTCGTATCTCTCATTTCATAGTGTTCGTGTAACGAAGATTTCTTTCCTTTTTGAGGTTACACAAAGTGCGCGCAGCTACCGAAAAGTTGACCGTAAACAATCGTGAGGCGTTCAATTTCAAACAAACTTCCTTTGTCATCTTAGAAAAGTGTGATCGTCTCCTTGAGGCGATTCTAATGGTACCCTATTCGCCATGATTCGACTGACTTTGGTATTTCTCATTTCACAGTGGTGGTGTAACCAAGATTTCTTTGCTTTTTGAGGTTACACAAAGCTCGCGCTGCTACCGAACAGATAGCCGTAAACAATCACCGCGCGTTGAATTTGAAATAAACTTTGGTTGTCAGCTTAGAAAAGTGTGATTGTCTGGTCGAGGCGATTCGAATGATACCTTGTTTGTCGTGAACAGGCTTCCTTTAGTATTTTTGATTCCATGGTTGCCATGGTAACGGGGATTTCCTTTTTGGGTGAAGGCTGCACACGCTGTGCTGGTAGGATGAGTTAGCCCAAAGCCGCCACAACACATTCCTTTTAAAGTAAACTAGCCATAGTAGATTTCAACATACTTTTTGTATCATTGAGGCGATTCCAATGGTATATCATACGTCATGATTAGTACTTGTTTAGTGTTTTTCATCTGACAGCTGTTAGCTGGCTTAGATTTCCTTTTCGGTATAAGGCTATAGTGTCCCAAAAACAGGCCCATCAGGTTCGTTGTAAAGCGAACCTGATGTGTGGTATCAGAAAAATAGTTTCAGCTATGCGAGACGACGCGTAACGATACGCTATATACCTAGGTTTGCCAGTAGTGGGTTTTCGAACTCTCGTACAGGGCACGATGCTGATGACCTGGAACAAGACAGCCTATGCAACGGGGTACAGTGTTCTAAAAATGGAGCAAACGGATGAACTATAGAGCGTAAGCCTCTACTACTGGTGCTGCTATTCCATCAACACAAGCCTGATCATTTTGTTAGAGCCACTTTTATTGAATGCACCTTAGATGGTGACTAACCACTTTCGCTAAATGAGCTGTAAACAAGATGTGTTTATGCATCTTCGGTGTTGAACATATTAGTAGGGTATGTAGAAGATAGTGGGGTAGCAAGTTGCTCTCCATGGCAACGAAAATGGTCATCTGATTTTACATTCCGCTTTTGTGACTAAGCAAACTTGTTGCGAAACGTCAACACAAGTAGGGCTGATGGCAATCCCTCGTCGGCATGAAGCTCATTTGGGGACTGCATATGCGAAAGGATGAACAAAACAATAATGGATGGTGGTGGAAGATGAATGGCGGTGGATGTTCAAGAGGATGGTTGGTGATTACGTACATAGATCAGCTTTTAACGGTGCTACATAATACAGCTTACTAAATTTTCTAGCTCGCCATATACGCACCGATGCAATGGAGGTATATAACATCCTTACGCTATTGGGTAGTCTAAAAAATACATTTTCTCCAAATGCATTAGGATTAGATTACTTCATAAGATGGTTCCATATGCAACAAAGGGCTACGTTTAGAGATACATTTGATAGACGCTTCCAAAGCAAGGGGCATGGTCCTCACGTATGACAATATCGCAGCATGCGAATGAGGTATTGAGTAGGGGAAAGTGAGTCAAGGTGTATCTTCCAAGGCATCAGCCTCAATACAGAGTGCCAATGTCCTCATTTGGATTTCCCATTCCAGGGCGATGTATAACGCCCCATGTGTATGGGTCATCTGACGACATAGGTATCTACAAGATAAATAAGCGACTTGATATTTTGCATAAATAGCAAAGCTTGCATCAAAGAGGTTAACGTGTACCACCGATACCTACATAATTGGTGAATGCATATATGCTAAAGAGCAGCGGTGTAATATCACTTATAAGAGAGGAGACTAATAAGTCACGAGACTCGATAATATGATTGATCCTTTATTCAAGTGGTGGTTGTTGAGCGTATTTATAGCTTTAAGGATGATGGTGGTTGAAGAGGGTGTGTGTGTGTGTGCTTCCTAATGGAGTATACCGAGAAGGTGTGTGTGATACAACCATGCAACGGGTGCTACAGTGATGAAGCGTGTACGTATATAGCAATAGGTGACCAATGTGGATAAGGTTGGTGATGACAAGGTAAACCTTCATTCGGGTGATAGGGGAATTCCATCGTATGATAGAGAAAGCAGGTTGACAAACGTGAGAATGTGTACCAGGATACAACAAGCGGGTAACAATCCCAGTGATTTATTAAGCCTAAATAACAATCACTATGGACCATGAACAAGGTAATAAAAGGAGGGGGAATACACAAATCCAAGGGGATGAAGAAACGATCAAAAGCTTGTGAAGCGATCATCGACGATAATGTTCAAATCGGGTCGTTGCTCCTTGAGCCGCCGAATGCCATCCATGTTCGCAACCATCGTACGCTTAATCCTGACCGATTTGAGCTGTGACAATTTCTTGATCGCTTCCAAGAAACTTGGATCCACAAACGTAGTGCCTTCTCCGTTCTTTACTGAAATTGCGAAATACTGTAAATGCTCTAGGCGACTTAGAGCGTCCATTACCGGGGTCGTTGGCGTGTGACCACATTGCATTTCGAGGCATGATAAACGGCGGCATCCATTAGCAAGCGTGTCAAAGAATCCTTCCATTTCAATGGGATGGATTTCGGTAGGGAACTTGATCATCAAGCGCTGGAGTCGACCAAGAGAAGGAATAGCATCCATCACACAGCCAGTGTCATTCAAGCGATAGAAAAAGATCGCGAGTTCTTTTAGATGCGCATGCTGAGAAAATTGATGCAGATAGTGCACGATGGGCATCTTATCGTCAATATCAGGTCCCCTAGCAAGGTCAATTTCCAGCTTTTTCAAATTGGGTGGTATAGTATCCAACACTGAAGGTGACGCGCTGATGGTTGTCGATGTGATTTTCAATTCTTGCAATACTGGGGCTTTGCGTGGGATCCACCATCCAGATTTATTCAGGCTCAGTTTCTTTAGCCGAGGATACTGGATGTTGTAAAGGGCCTTGTCGCCATTGACAGGTTCGATACCCCATGTCATACTGTCAATAGTTGTATGATGCTGCTTTAACATTGGGCTCATTCTCTGGCGCGTCTCCTCTCCATCATATTGCTCCACGATCGAAAAATCAGTAATCCCCTCGCATTCATTTCCTTCATGGCTGCAGTCAACTTCAGTATCCCAACCATCGACCGTTAGCTTAACCGTATTCATATGCCGATAACGTTTGGTGATAATGCGTGCTGATTCAAGGTCTCGGCAAGGATGAAGATCAAGTTGGTTGAGTGATGGGAAACGTTGAGAAATCGCTGCCACCATTTTCGGAGTAACGTCCTCTTCTGCTTCACGAATGGATAATCTTTTCAACTTGGGCCATGTCTTCTTTGGTAGAGAGCTGAGATTTGCATGCATGGGTTCGAACACCCAAAGAGAAACCAGATTGGGGCACGCCAACACAACCTCAGAGATATCAAGCATGGTTCCAGATCCCATATAGATCTTCAGGTGGGTCAGGGTGCTGCTGATGGAATGCAGAGATGTCACCAAACGGCGGATGTTATACCCCACGAAGCCTTGTATATGTATGTGAACAGGTTAAAAAGGGAATATTTAAAAAAAGTATACAACTTACCTATAAGCTCTAGCTTCTGTAACATGCAAAAATCATGATCCAGCACTAGATCCGCTAGCGATGGTGCTTCTGAATACCATGGAATTTCTATTTCCTTCGTATAACGAGCAAACTTGTTGACTTGCAAAAGATTGGTATCGCTTTCATCCTCGCCTGATCCAACCCTGAAACGTAATCCGCCAAAGCATTGAATGACACGATCACGCCACAGATTCGACACATACAAATAGGGACATGGTGTCCATGCATCCAACGATCCATCATCCATAAACATCCGAATCAGCGTTGTTGTAACAAGGTCAATTGGTAGCTTGCTAATAAAGTCGATGCGTATGCTCTGACGTTGCTCAGCGTCCATTTTCATTTGCAGCAACGTGGGGTAATGTGGATCCTTGGTATCAACAACATCGAGTCCTTTGCTGCATACATCAATGACATGGCTCTGTTTCCCTTGTTCACTGTAAACCTCAGCTGCACGTATATATCCAAGTGCTGAAAAAGTCGAAAGTCGTTGCATAACGTCGGCATCGCGAAGAGCAGCATCGAAGTTGGCACTCTGTCTCAATCCCATGGCGCGTAGATTGAGGGCTGACAAGATGGATTGAACGGGTTCATGGAGTTGATTGGTTGAATTGTAAACAAGCTGTGCGCTCTTTTCAGTAGAAGCTTTGAGTGTTGGCTGCTGGCAGAAGTCGCCCAAATTCGCGTGTGACATGGAGAGGTGGTTGTGGAACAAGAAAAGAAGGCTGCTGAGGTGTACTCCTCACTCCAGCATAAATTTTATTGGCCAAACGCATCCAGGCAACGGCGCTGCTTTAATCCCCCTTATGCAACGACTCCTTTCTATTCTTGGCCACCCTCTCTAAAGCTTTACTTTTTCTCCTAGTCGACATTCCGCATTCGTTTACTGGAATCAGATTGGTAGTCATGCCTACATTCGTCTCCCTTGGTGACGCGTCATCGCTTTGCTTATTCGCTTGTCCTTATTTCAGCTTCCTCGTTTACAGAGCTCTACACAACTTTCTACTTTGACAAGGACGCTCACACAACAAACCAATCATGAACACTGTTCCCCTTGGACGCTCACACAACAAACCAATCATGAACACTGTTCCCCTTGTAAACTTAGTCAATATTCTGGTCCTGGTTGTGGCCGCATTTACTAGTGTCAAAGTGACGAATAAGATAATGCAAATAAACGCGTTAGCAAACAAACCAAACCTTCACACACACTGGGATGGTTGCATTGTGACATGGATCACAGCATTGGTATGTGCATTATAATGAGAGGCAATGTTTGTATAGTACATACGCGGGTTGCTTGGATCAAGTTGTTCATCATCATCATCATCATCATCATCATCATCACCCATTCATCACCCATCATGTCCTTCAATCTATACATCGTAAGTTACCACGAAGGGATTTCCATTGACAACGATTGACAACATGATAAGGATAAGGGTAGCTCACGTTGGATGGGGAGGTACTTCCATGATCGATGATCATGAGGGAAATCAGACACCATTCTTGGTATTGAACTTGCTTTACATATCGCCTTGTCATTGAGCATTTACAAGAATAAATGAGCATATCGAGCCTACTGCATCTGGATATTGTATTTCATGAACTAGAATGTGAAATCTTCAACGCCCATGTATGTGTTGGTCTCGCTTGCTACAATAAAGCTGTGCCTGGATTACAATCCAATAGCCGCTGGCTGTGTTATGCTTACGAACCCATCATGCCCATAATAGATTTGAAAGATTACCATCCATAAGTGTTACGCTGCCCGTTTTATTTCCATAGAACAAAGGACTACACTGATACAACTAACGATACCCATCATGCCTCATTTATCCATATACTCATTCCATAGCCATCCTGCCTTCATCCAACATGTGTAGGTTGCCAGCGAATATGGATCCACATGTACCATACCATATCCTTTATGAACGAGCGTGTCCAACCGATGCAACAATCACGAAACCTACCTCGTCATGCCATAGGATGATCAACCTTTCCTTCATACTTCATGGCCTGGTATAACAATAGACACCATTTCAATGGCACCATCCAACAACGTTGCAGCAAGTAAAAAGCCAAGACGAGAACACAAAGAGATTTCATGAAAAAGACTTGTTCGAGTAATAGGTATCGTGATGGGTGGAGTCCATATTCTCGATCATATTGCGTAAGGATCCGCATGGCTGGTGTGCTTAAAGAGGAAGATGACGACGATTAGCAAAGTGCCCCATCTTTCAACCCTGCCAGCATTGCCTTTCATATAATATGGCACGTACCTATAACTGTAACCATGGCAAACTGCGTTTACACACGCTTATGGGACGCCTTGGATTGTTGGCCGCACATGCATCTGACGCTGCTGTTGCGTAGCCTTCGACTAGACAAGTTGCACACGATTCTCAGCAATGACTTGAAGATTAGTTGGTCGCCGTTGTTGACGATTGGTTTTGGCTGCAGGGGTCATTGTCAAGGTGCAAGTCGCTTAGCGTGTCGTAAAGAGGAAGCTGAAACAAGTACAGGGGAGAGATGACTCACCGAAAGTTGTTGTAGAGACGCGTAGCCAAGGAGACGAATGGTGGCTGGCACCCATTGTGCTAGCGGATGGGGACCAACAATGTCGACAAGGAGCAAAAGTAACCGTTTAGAGAGAGTTTTCAAGTATAGAAAGGAATAAAGGGCAGCTGCTGTGTGCCACTTGGGCCAAGAAATATTTTATGCTGGGGTGTGTGTTGTGTCACTTGACTATTTCCCTTCCTCCCCAGCCAACCAACAATGGCAGACTCGATTTGGAACGCTTTATGCAAACCACCCACGGTCAAAGCCTCTTCTAAAAAGTACGCACAGCTTGTTCACGATTCAACAACACAGCTCCATCAATCCCTTGAACCCATCTTGTCAGCTTTAGATCGACGCGCCATTGGGTTGACAAAGTGCGCCAACTTTGAATCTGCTCTTCACGATGCCAAAGCTATCCAACAGCTATCGCCTTCTTCAGCACTTGGTTATATACGCGAAGCCGAGATTTACAGCGAGCAAGGGAAACAACGTCAAGCCATTGATACATGCAACAAGGGGTTGGGCATGGTTGATTCCATGGATACGCAATATGCTACATTGCAACAAGCCAAAATGGATGCTGAGCAACGCCAAAATACACGCATCGACTTTATCAGTCAACTACCCCTCGACATTGTGATCACTACGCTCATCCCTCTATTCCTGTATGATTATCATTTCTTGCGTTCATCAAAACCAATACCTTACTTGCATGTATCCAACGTATGGCAAGATCGTATTATTCAATGGTTGGATGGATTAGAAATTGATATTGATGACGAAGACGCCAATCTTTTGCATATCATACCGCTTGCTCGCCATATCACGACATTGGAAGTGCATCGTTTTTCCAAAGGAACATGGCTCGGTGATTTGCTACGCAACAGTGACTTTTGCTCTTTACGAGAGTTAAGCATTGGTGGTAAGTTATATTCATCCGATCATGGCCTTTTATTGATCTTGATTTCTATCAGCCTTCTCAGCCGATTGCGTTGATCACTTGATTTCATCGTTAAAGTCTATCGGCGGCACTTTGACAAACCTTCGAATTGAAGAGGATTATGGGACTATGCTACCGATAGAGGAGATTCTTGTCAACTGCCCCAACCTAGTTTATCTCGACATCAGCCAACCCTTTCCAGCAGATATCAGATCCCTTTCAATGACAACATGGCCCAAAATAACGACATTGATTCTCTTTTCGAATGCAGGCCACATGACAACCCGTGATGATATTATTCCAATTGCCAAACGTTTTCCATCTCTCAAGAAACTTCAATTTTTCCCATGTGAGGATATGGAAGCAATGCGCGTTGTGATGGATTACTATCCCTGGATGAACAACCTGGAGATTTATGAGTTTGAAGTGGGCTTCAATACTGTTTTCTCTGAGGATGGACCCCGACGTCAAGAACGTGCGATTACGAATCTTACAATTGATATGCATGCTATTGAAATCGATCGTTGGGAGAGTGCGCTCCATGTGCTACGACAGCATCAACAAACGCTTGAAGATATCTCCTTGGAGGCGGATGTCCCTAGTGTAAACGAGGAGATCTACAATATTGAGTACCCGTGCCTGAAGAAACTTTGTATTCGTAACTCTGGAATGTGGATACCTCGCAACGCACCCATGCTAGAAGAAATGAAGATATCCTGCTTTACATTTGGTGAAGAATCCACCGTACCTGATGCATTACCTCCAAAGTTAAAGAAGCTTGAGCTGGACCTTGACCATGGTTACCATCGTGTCGACAAAGCACCATACGCACAATACGTTCATCGATATGCCCGGCATCCCCACTTGAAAGAACTCGTTGTTCATTTACACAGCTCGGATACTATCGTCAATGTGCTAGAAGCTATCCTTCATCTTGGCCAACTTGAACGTTTGATGATTCGCTTTACCGATGATTGGGATACCACTCAAATGCAAGGATACATTGATGCGCTTGTGAAAGGATGTCCAAACGTATCTAGCCTTGGGATCAGCTGTAACAACGCTCCATCGACATACTCAATGAATGCTTTGAAGCGGCTTGAACATTTGGAACAATTTGGGTTTTCACTCAAGGATGTGGATGATCATGATGGTTTCTGGCATGCAATTCAAGCCTTTCCACAGCTCAAATCTATTCATATCTATCCTTTTAACTCGATCAACATGCATCATCTTGCACGTCTTCAGCAACGGAGGCCTGGTTTGAAGATTGTCGTCGACCACAATTTCACATACGTATGGTAATTCTCTGTATTACATGGATTCGCTCCTTCTTGTGCTGTAGTAATTTATAGCGATGATAAATAAACACTATCTTTTGTACCGATTCATGGTAGCTTAAGTAATTAAGAATATGAGTGAAAGGTAATATTGTCAGCAACGTGATCCATTTTTCAAAGATCAGCATCGGCAAATGGGTGGGGGATTGTTTATCGGTCGCTTATTGAGATAGATGGACAATGGTAAACAATAATATTGGTCATTTAGCACAAGTGCATGCCTATAGCTGTATCATTTCCTTACTCCGTGCCAACCGCAGGGCTTATGTTTCATTTACCATCTCTAAGCTGGCAGATAACGACGGCTTCAGGACCAATTTCGCTGGTAGCTAAGCAAATAAAGTATTCGAGTGTACGTATAAAATTGGCATTTTTTGGGTTTTTCGTAACCATTCCTTCTACCCTGCGGTGTCTAACAGAATCACAACTACTAATAGGTGTGTTTGTGTTTGTACATTGCTCATGGAACTTGTTGTAGACCGCCTGATCGACGGCAATAGTAATAGCATTAGCATGCCTTGTCATGACAACACCAAAGAGCACAGCACCTAATACGTAGACTTCATGTTGATGGGATGATAAAAAATCATTACCTGCGGATAGTACGTTAGCCATTGTCGTCTCCAATGTATGCATCGTGCACCAGCATCAAGGGAAAGCCATTGAAAAGGATTCACAACGTAAGTATACGAGCAGCTGTTGTTGATTGCGGTTCACTTGGATGATCGATGAACATGAGGAAAATGAGAAGCATCCTCGCGATCGAGCATTGAAACGGATGAATGAGGATGTACAGCATACATCGCGTTCTTATGTTTCCAGGAGCCATAATCACTGATGAAATGGCTTTCCCAGCAATGTGCAGCTGCATACCAAGATCCACAGGTTGATGTTGCTTGCTGTAGTCGACCTGTATCGGAATAATGATCCAATAGCGACCTGGTATGATATACGTATGAATACATCATGCCATCATTGAGTTAAAACATTATCTTCTTCAAGCTTCACGATGCCCGTTTTTATTTTGATATACCAAAGGACTACACTAATACTATGAGGTTGTGCATTCACCAATATACCAATTCTATAGCCATCCTTCCAACATGCTTGAATCACCAGCGTGTATAAATCCACATGTACCATACCATTGGTGGGAACGTAGCCATCCGATCCATCCTTCACCAAACCTACCTCATCATGCTTGCAATGATCAACTGTTCCTTCATACTTCATGGCCAGGTGTAACAATGGACACCATAACCTTGGTAAGCGATGGCTCCATCAAACAACGTTGCAGCAAGTAATAGCCAAGAGAATAAGAAAAAGAGGTCCCATGAAAAAGCCTTGTTAGAGCAATAGGTATCATGAAGCGTTGAGCCATAATACTCGATCATGTCGCGTAAAGATCCACATGGTTGGATGTGATGGATAAAGTACCTCTTGACGATGATGATGATTAGCAGCCGGAAACAAATCACCCTGATTGAACCCTGTTCACATTCGGTCTCATATGGTATCATACGTACATATACCTGTATTCATGGCAAATTGCATTTACACAAGTTAACGAGATCATCTTCGCTTGTTAGCGATATGCTTGTATTTGACGTAGGGGTGGAATACCTTTGGACTAGCCAGGCTGCACACGATTCCCACCAAAGGTTTGAGCAAGATTAGTTGGTGACCGGTGTTGATGATTGCTTTTGGCTGAAGGGGCCATTGTGAAAGGTACAAGTTGTATAGCGTGCCGTAAAAGAGAAAGTTGGAGCGAGTAAAAGGGATGACCAACCAAAAGTAGTTGTGGTCGAGATGGCGCGTAACAAGAGACGAATGCTGACTGGACACCGATTGTGTTGGCTGATGGAGAGCAAGCAATGTCGACAAGGAACAAAAATAAAGCTTTAGAGAGGGTGGACAAGTATAGAAAAGACTCGTTGTTGGAATAGAGCGAATAAAGGGTGCTTTGTTGACTGGGTCCGCTTTGGGCCAGAGATTTTAAGCTGTGGTCGGGACTTGACTTGTCACACACTTCTTCCTCAGCCTGCATACAATGACTTACTTCAATTGGATCGATTTATGCCAACAGCCAATACTCAAAGCCTCTTCCGAAAAGTATGCACAGCTTGTTCACGATTCGACCACCGAACTCCATGAACCCATTCAATCCATCTTGTCAACTCTGAATCGACGCGCCATGGGATTGACAAAGTGCGCCAACTTTGAATCGGCTCTTCGCGATGCCCACGTTATGCAACAGGTGTCGCCTACTTCAGCACTTGGATATCTAAGTGAGGCCAGCATTTACAGTGAACAAGGAAAACAGCGTCAAGTCATCGATATCTGCAAGCATGCTATACGTTTTGTTCATACGAAGGATCTCGTCAAATTGCAGCAAGTGATCGCTGATGCTGAAGACCGTGAGGGCAAAGGCGTCGACTTTATCAGACAGCTACCTCTCGACATTGTGATATCAACACTTATTCCCATGATTGTTGACAGCGACTATATCGATCCATCGAACCCAAGTCCCTATCTGTACGTATCCCATTTATGGCGCAATTGTATTCTGCAGTCGATCGGTGGATTACGTTTGAGGATTGGAGCAGAGGAGGAAGACGACGTTTCAGACATCATTGAACTTACCCAGCACATCAAGGCATTGGATATTGAATGCTATTCCGAAGGAACATGGCTAGGAGACTTCATTGCTGATAATGACTTTTCCTCTTTGCGAGAGATTGAGATTCGACGTAAGTTATGCTCTTTATTTGATGGTCCGAATTTATTTACTGTTGGTTTATATATAAAAGGTTTCACTACACTACACCTGGGCCATTTTCTCTCGGCGTTGAAATCAGTCAGCAGCACCTTGACCCACTTTTTTGTCGACATGGAGGATGGACCGGTGTTAGGCGTACCCGATGTTTTATTGGTTTGCCCCAATCTCATGTCGCTCAGCCTACGTGACGTCTGCAATGCCGATACAAGCTCTCTCCCAATGGCTCCATGGCCGACATTGACGACATTGTCTCTTACCTTTATACACCGCATCATCGCCTGCGATCAGATAATCGAGATCTGGAAGCATTTCCCATCACTCAAGAAGCTTGAGATTCACCCATGTCCCGATATCCAATCAGCGCTTATTGTCTCTGAATATTCCTCAACGTTGAAAAAGCTTGAGATTTCTATGGAGGGATCGGATCTTCGTTTGACCTACACGGATGAAGGAAACCATACCCAAGAAGCTGGCATCACAAAGCTTGTCATATGCACCGATTATTCGGCTGAAACAACATGCAAGGACACTAGCTCTATCATAAAGCGATATCACAACACACTTGAGCACCTTGAATGGGATATGGATACAAGTTGGGATACCGAGACTATTGACAATATTCAGTTCCCTCGTCTTACCCAACTTGGTCTCTATTGGTCTGGATGGGAGATGATACGCCATGCGCCCATATTGGAAGAATTGAAGTTGACGTTCAGAATCATCAGTACACACCCGCAAGTACTTGATACGATACCACCGCACTTGAAATCACTTGATTTGGACCTCGACGCATGGCAATACTATGAGGATCATTCATCCATCCTATCCTATCTTAATCGCATGGCTCGCCAATCGAAGCTGAAAGAACTTGTGTTGCGTTTCAACAGCCGTGACGACATTGCCAGTATTCTTGATGCCATCTACCGTCATGATCATCTTGAATGCCTCAAGATCAGTTTCACGAGCGAGTGGGAAAGTTATCCAATGGAGAGATTCTTGAACGGTCTTGTCAAAGCATGTCCCTGTTTATCACGCCTTGAGCTCAAATGCACGAATGCACCTTCAACCCATTCGATCGAAACACTCAAACGCCTTCCACAATTGCACAAGTTTGCATTCTCCATCCATCGGACATGTGACAATGACAGCTTTTGGAATGCGATCAGAACCTTTCCCCAACTCAAGTGCATTACTATCTACCCTTCACCTGTGGCCCAGGATGCCAGAATCCTTCATCTCAACCAACAAAGACCGGACATGAAGATCATCGTTGGATCAACTCACCTATTCCACCACCCTTTTCCATGAATGCTACCTTTTCATCATTCCTTGCTAGCTGTACGTAGTAAACAATAAAGGTGCCCGTATCATTGCATATATACATCTACTCTATGCATCATACTCAAAAAATCAATTAGCCACACGTGAAGCTACAATCTTTGCCATATCTAGCAACATTCGTATATGCTCCTTATTTGCTAATGTGGTCCATGTTTAACCTGAAACTTGATGTGCTATTACCGATTTGTCTCGTTTGGGTAAGACGCAGTAGAGAAGGGCTGGACCCATATCATCCATTGCTGTTTTAATCCTTGTTTCTTCGCTTTCGTATACAAACATCGCCTTTAGCACCTATCTCACTATAAATGTACATATGAACCACAATCGAAAAAGACCCGCCTTTGTAATAGCAAAACATACACGCACCTGTAACTCGAACGCTTTCAATGAAACATGGGCTCGTTTTGGAACCACCATGCTCAGCATGGTCAAAACCACCTTGTGGGAAAGTTTCAGGATCGAACTCGTCAATGGCAATTTTTGCATTTGTCCATGTCAGCCAAAAAGTTTCAAGAGGTCGACCTGTTTATTTTGGCGGGTGGTGACGTGGCCAAATTTGAGATTGATGAGGTCGGTCTTGAAACTGGTACACAAGGTTGCTTGAGCAGGGCTGAGGACGGCGGATGCAAAAAGAGCCCATGCTTCATTGTGAGATTTTGAGTTATGGATAGCTGTCTTTATGCTGTAAACACGATGCTATTATAAAGCCACCTTTTTCCATTGCCACCCATATAGCCACTTATAGTGCAATAGCTGTATGAGGCCGTGTTTGGGTATACGAAAGCAAAGAAAACAGCATTAAAAGAGCAATGGATGATATGTATACGCTATATCACAGTCATTCATACATTGCAAGCTATTAGCCAATTCCACCCAATCAAGACCATCATCGATTTCATAACGTATGAAAGATGCACCTGCTCCAAAGAGTCATTTCCATCATTCAGGTGTCTTGATCCGAGCGGATTTGAGGAGATTATGGCCAAGTAACGGGTACATCGGTTCCAACATGCAACGTACACGGGTATATGGAGTAGCCAAAACCTGGTCTAAGCGTAGCTCATCCAAACCAGCTCGGATCAATGTAATTAAACCATGGAACGGAAGCATGGAGCAGGTGCATTCACCACACGTTGTCAAATCCACAATGGGCTCAATTGGATGGAATTGGTTAATAGCATCCAATCTATGAATGACCATCAGACACTGAACCCATATCATCCATTGCTGTTTTAATCCTTTTTTCTTCGCTTTCGTATACAAACACCATTAATCGCACCTATCTCACTATAAATGTACATATGAGTCACAATCGAAAAAGACCCACGTTTATAATAGCAAAACATACACGCACCTGTAACTCGAAATCTTTCAATGAAGCATGGGCTTGTTTTGGAACCAGCATGCTCAGCATGGTCGAAATTACCTTGTGTGAACCTATGAAGATCGAACTCGTCCATAGCAATTTTTGCATTTGTCCATGTCAGCCAAAAAGTTTCAAGAGGTCGACCTGATTTCATCTTGGCGGGTGGTGACATGGCCAAATTTGGGATTGACCATCTCGAGCTTCATACTTCTACACAAGATACTTTTGAGCACGGCGAGAAACATTGTTCTAGGAAAGAGCCCCATGCGTCATTGTAACATTTTGGGTTATTACTATCTTTATGCGCTAGACATGATACCATATGAAGAGTTGTCTTTGTTCATTCCCAATTGTCCCATTTATCATAGAGCGGAGGTTGCAGCTGGATCTGTTTGTATTATACAAACAAGCGGATACGATCACGGTCGATGAAGAGCACGTGCCTATATAACTCTCAATCGAAGTACCATCATGAAGAGTCCCTTCCATCATCAACAACCACACCTTGAAACAAGATTGAACACACAGAAAACACCATTACTAACGCAATTGCCTTTTATCTATACAGGTTTCCTTATGTCCCATATCAATAGTACTATTATCCTCCTACATGCGATGTAACGTGTTTCATCCTCGGACTAAGAATCTTGCTTTTATATGTTGTACATTATATATATGAGTGCCCCATCATTCATTCGGGCACCTCATGAAAGGCAATAATAGTAAAGCATGTTGTCATGGAGACATTCGTTGCGATAGCGGTGTGTATGTTGCATGCATGCATGTATTATTGGCTGCGGCTAATTTCCATGTGTGCGTGTCAAAAGGGTGCTTTTGTCTACTCAGCTTCTCCTTGCTGCTTCTTACCCAGACCTCACAACAAGCGCGATCGTGGTCTGACATGGGAGCCCCTCATTAGTCAACTCCATATGCGCAAGGGTGTCAATGAAGGTGAGCAACGTGTTGATAGAGTGCAAATGTAGGCTTGTCCTTGTTCGCTGTGTATACTGAAATGGTAGTCTTTTCACAGCTTTCTTGTTTCCGGAATGTCGACAATTTCAAGATTGAGGAGGAATGTGGAACGAGATTCTGCTGAACAACGACAACGAGTACTGTGTTCAAGGGTGAGACAAAGCCAATGCACAAGGTTTGTAGTAAGACATTGGTTGGCATGGACACCGTTGATTGAAGAGTCTACTGGAACCAAGACAAGCAACCTGTACCCTGGGAACCGATCACGTGATTTCCGAGCCGCGCAAGAAGAAAGAAGGATGCCTGGACATCAAGAGATGCAATGCATGCGTACAATGCTATAGGAAGCTGCAAGGTATGCAATTGGATCATAATGAATGAACCAAAGAAGTAACACAATCAATTAGTGGCATGATACGGATGTCTGTACGTGCATGGCCATTAAGATGCAGCAAGCATGGTATGTGGATTGCTGCTATGCAATGTGACGTGGCGATTTACTTGAACTTTTTCATATGCAAGAAGGGATACGGCTGTGAGCGATTACATTGATTGTATTGGGATTGGATCGGGATATATGGTATGTACATGATGTGCTTGGATATTATCTTCCATAATAGTCTAAAATTTTTTCTAGATGGCTCTCTTTAGCCTTCTAAAAGCCGCCCACAGTGGTTATGAGTCATGAACCAGGAGAAGACCAACCCAATGACTCACAGCTCAGAGCATCGTTTGCCAAGTTCGCCAAGGAATGGCAAAACACCAAAGACGCCAATAGCCTCTGCCAACCGAAGCTCACACTGGATTGGAGAGTCTCGGCTTGGAATGCAGTAATGAGCTCAAACGTTTTCAACGCGACCTTGTCAAATACGAAACAGGGGAATGGACTGAGATGGGAGCGATCAACACATGTTTTATTCAATGGCTCGAAAGAACGACACTTGAAAGCCATGTTATTATTCAATAAAGATACAAGGATGCAGATCGATTGCGAGCAACAGGCAGAGCAGCAACAGCGATTTATGAGGAATTGAGAAACATCATCAGCTCGAATCAGGACAACGAACTCATACAACAGCTATTTGCGATCAGGGAAAAGCTCGCCAAGTTGGCGATTTTTGGATTTGCCAGCGCAAGGGATATGGATAACGAATCAAAGGACCTCATTGCCAAATGACTCAAGCTCCATGAATACGTTGACGACAACACGCCAACTAAAAAGATGGCATTTTCTGAAGAGGATGTGGCGCACATCAGCGAGCAGTGGCAATACGACAAGCGTATTCGTGCCGCCATCGGAGGAAAGTGATATCCAAGCCAACAGCAACAGTATCGACGTGGAAGAGGCCGTGGAAATGGATATCGATCGGGGTTTGGCACATGGGGATGGATACCCAGCGACATGAAAAGCCGACAAATCAGCAACAACAACAATAGCCACAAAAAGTCCATCATTATACAGCCTCACACCATATCAGCCACCACCATCATATCAAACCAAGGACGTTCATCAGCAATCTTATACAATTCCAAAGGATGGGATTGCACCAGGAGGTCGTTTGACGAGGTTTATTGAACAATGGAAAGATATTACGACACACCAATGGCCTTTGGCAGTGGTTTATGATGGCTACCAGATACAATGGCAAGCAACACCAATGAGTTGGTCTCGACCCAATTCCAAGCGATCAATTGAGGAAGAAGGGATAGTGGATACAACAATCAATCAGCTTTTGGATACCGATGTGGTGGAGTTGAGTGTTGGTCAAGACGACAGGTTTTTATCCCGTTTGTTCATGATCCAGGAGAAATCAAAGGTAAGGCCAATGTTGGATTGTACGAAGATCAACACATTGATTCAATTGAATCATTTCAAGATGGGGGGCCTACTAGCGTTGAGAGAAATGATTGAACCTGGCGACTGAATGGCAACAATAGACCTCAAGGACTCGTATACCTTGGTACCAGTGTACCCGAACTCAAGACGTTACCTACCCTTCAGGCATCGGCACGAGATCTATCAATACAAAGCCCTCCCTTTCGGTATGAGTACTGCCCCTCGTGTGTTTTCCAAGCTCATGCGTTATGCTATAGAACCTATGAGAAGGCAAGCCATGAGGATTTTGTATTTTCTCGACGACATTTTTGTGGTGGCAGCGAGTCCAAAGAGAGTACAAGAACATGTCAACACATTGGTGAATCATCACAGCGTTGGGTTTCATCATCAACTGGAAAACGAGTGTTTTGACACCCTTGAGGAAGCATTCATACATGGGATTTGTGTTCGATTCACAAAAAAATTCAAAATCAACGTCCCGTTGGAGAAGATGGCATCATTACGACAAAGAGCACGTGAAGCATTGAAAGGAACCCATTCACGTCGATGGATGGCGAGCTTGTTGGGGAAGATAACTAGTCTCACTCCAGCTGTGGGGGATGCATTACTTCACTGCCGATTCATACAGAGGGACCAAGCAAGGAATCTACAACGTCATCTTTATCAATGGGAAGAGCCGTGTCCTTTGCCGATGAAAAGCCAAGAACGATCTACAATGGTGGATGGAGAACAATGCATACATGAAGGATCTACCAATTCGCCAACCACCACCAACACCGCCAAAGATAACAATTCATGTGGATGCCTCGGTTTTGGAGCCCAGGGGAAAAAGAACTTTCGATCAATGCATGGGAGTTGAGAACAATCAGGATGGCGTTATAGCTACATGCAAAAAGGTGCCAAAATTCTCACATCCAGCTCGATCCGACAATGTCACAGCCCTAAAGTATGCATTCAAACAAGGCGGCACAGCATCAGCCATATTGCAGCAAGAAGCATTGAAGATTCAGCACATCCTCAACACATTTCAAATCAGCGTCAGTCATCAACACATGGCAGGGATCAACAACACGAGGGCGGATCAAATGAGTCGTTTTCGGATACCAACCCACGAGAGAATGCTGCCAAGAGGTGCTTCAACATGATCAAACGACATTGAAGGAATGTGAGAATGGATATCGATGCTTTCGCAGCTGCACACAACCACCAAATGAGACAATATTCGAGTTACCAAGAGGGCCATAATGCAGAGGCAGTGGACGTGTTCAACCAAAAATGGCCAAGCAAAGGACTATACTTGAATCCACTGTGGAAGCTGATTCCAAGGTATTGCGCAAATTTCAAGAGGATCAAGCCAAGTCAGCGATCCTAGTCACTTCGTATTGGCCCACTCAACGTTGGTGTCCCATGACCATGAGGCACAGCAAAACAAGGCAGTTAATCTTGAAGTTCACCAAGAGATTTTCGATGATCGCTTGACGATTATCAAGAAGAAGCAAGCGGAGGATGGCTTAAGTGTTCCGCTTCAGGAGTTTTTGGTGGAAAACGTCCGATAGAGCACAAATTATTCTTACGATACCCTATGGCGTCGTTGGGTAAAATGATGTGAATTGTGAAAGAAGAATCCCGATCCAAACGTTCTCGATGTCCAATGCTTATTGGCAATGCAATGCAGAGGTGTTTCAGTATCACATATTAATGCTACGCGATCGGCATTCGTATCAGTCTTCAAGGTTTACCATCAAGTGGTTGGCAATATTGCGTCCTACCCTTTGATCCAAGATATTTTCAAGGCAGCACGAAGGAAGCAGGAGAAGCTACCCGATCCATCAGCGGACATTTGTGAGATTGAAACATTGGTCATGCGTGTCACGTCATGGGGGAAGAACGAGGAGCTCTCCTTAACAAGGTTACAACAAAAGACGATGGTACTTTTGGCAGTGGCTTCTATGTGGCGCATTCGATCTGATATTGGACGTTTACACTGGCAGGATGTTTGTTTACAAGAACGGATCGATGGTACCTATGAAGGACTTACGTTGTTGGTGAGGACCCCAAAAAGAATGTCAAGCGAAGGTGTCGAAGATGGGTCCATTGAGCGATGTTACGATTTGCCAAGTGCCCACCGCAGCCATTTATATGCAACAACCCAAGGACTTGAGAATGGAGATGGATGATGATCACACTTTTTTCTTGGGATACATTGAAAACAACAACTTGGACAAGGTCCATTAGACCCGCTACTGCCGCCAGTTGGTTGAAGTTCATTATGATCGAAGCAAAGATCGATGTCGAAAATTATCCAACACATTCCATTCGAGCTGCTGCAGCCACCAAGGCAACCTATTCTCGATGATCTACCAAAAGCCGAATGGCAATTTACGTTTGTTGATCGCTTGGTATCACTGCTTCAGCGAGCGTGGACATCGATGGGATTACAATGAACATGGATATGAAGGATACCTGTGGCCAAAATACAATGCTCAAGTCACCATCACCACCATGATGCAAGATAGATGCTTACTGGTCAATTCAATGATCCATTCAACTATGCACGTTTGATCCATTCATTACTTCAACAATCCAAAGATACTGGGATTTGAAAGGGAATAGATAGGAGCACATCCATTGAGATAAAGTCTTGTGAGCTAGGTAGTTTACCCATATCAATCTTCGAATACAAATACTTTCATCTTCATGTTCAGCTCTTGTGCGAGACGTTTGACAATCATCAAAGCTCACTTGTTGTATAAGATCGTGCGTGAAGCATAGTAAAAACTTAAAGCTGTCGTTACTCAAAATCTCAAAATGAAGCACGTGGATCTTAAGTGCTAGTCGTCTTCTGAAGGAGCTCTTCGAAAACGAAGGAAGGCACATCACGACGTGGTCTTTTAAGTAGGCATGACTGATGATGTCCGGTATGTTTTTTGTGAAGAAGATATCTATGATGGAGTGTAATGTGGTGTAGCTATTTACGACATTTGCTTGGGGGTATCCTTGTTGAACATAGAAAAATGGTGATCCTTGAGTCTATAGTACATCACTGACTGCTGCTTGTCTTGCATACATGTAGACTACGCCATCCTTACAGGTACCACGTCCCTTATGTATTCACCGTGAATGTATGATAAAAACGATAACCATGGGGATATCGCTGATAATCCATGGCTTGAAAACAACTCTCAGAAACCCTTGAATATTCCACTCATGATGACCTTCATGTCACGTCTGTTTTCCTCAAGATCTCGAATTACAGACTTGTTGACGGCATTGGCAGGGTACATTTGTATAACCTTGAGCTGTGAAAAGGTTCGAATCGAATTCCAAAAGCTATCGTATCCATCCGTGTCCATAATTGAAAATGCAAATTGCTTTAGGTGTTCAAGTCGTTTCAAGGTATCCAAGGAATACGTCGATGGTGCGTTCATGCAATCAATTTCAAGGCACGATAGATAAGGGCATCCATTCACAAGTCTGTCAAAGAATCGTTCCATCTGGTATAGGTCCCAATTCCCGCGTACACCCATCATGAGACGTTGAAGCGTATTCAAACGACAAGTTGCATCAAGGACGTTTCCAAAGCTGTTCAAGGATTCGAAGCGGATAACAAATTCACGTAGTGGTGATTGCTGCGAGACCCGATGGAGATACCTCACGATGGCGTCTTTGTCTTCAAGTTCAATTCCATCATCGAATACGAATTCAATTTTCTTCAAGTGTGGCGGTATTGTATCCAGCATTCTAGAATCGGTATTGATGGCCATCGATGACATCTTCAATGCTTCCAGCATGGGTGCATTGCGAAGTATCCAAGATCCCGAAGTGCATAGTGACAGTGTGGTGAGGTGTGGGTACCGCATGTGGTGAAGTTGACCATAATCTCTTTCAGGATAAATGTCCCAATAAATTTCCTCCAGCGTTGTATGGTGCTGCCTTAAAATAGGGCTCACATCCACGAAGCCCTCCACTTCTTGCCAATCCTCGACATACACAGAAAGCTTTCTCATTGCTAGCTCTTGAGATGCACTGCTAACGTAGGTCACATCCAAGTCGAATATGTGGATCTCCAGCTCAACACTTGTCAATAATCGGCAATACTGTGGGACCATCAGGGTTGCTTCGAGGTCACGGCATGGATATAGATTCAACTTTTTGAGTGCTGGAAAACGCGTGCAGAGATGTATGATATCGGCCCGAGTAAGTTCTGTGTCTTCTTCGGTACGTTTGATCGATAATGTTGCCATATTGGGGCAGGTTGTTATTGGTAAATTGCTGAAATCATCATCACCGTATTGGGTCATAATGAGCGAAACCAGATTCGGGCAGACAGTTAATATCTCGCCAAGGAAAAGCATGCCGTCATACTGCTCGTGAATTGTCAAATGAGTCAATGTGCTGCTGATAGATGCCAATGATTGTCGAAAGTCATCAAAATAGCCGGTGGAAATGTCTTTGTGAACAATGATCGATACGTGAAAGCTAAGAGATGAATACCACTTACCATCAATGCATAACTCACGCAAAGAGCTAAAGTCGTTGTTGCTTAATAAATGCGAAAGCCAGGCTCCTTTGGAATAGCGGCGAACATGCAATGCCTTGATGTGTCGAGCAAATCTGATCAATTGAGAACACTTTTCCATGTCTTGTTCGTCCTCATGGTATCCAGTCTCAAAACGCAACCCATCGCAATACTGAAGAATACAATCACGCCATAGATTGGACACGTGCAAATAGGGACATGGTATCAATGATGGCAAAGGCGTATCATCCACCAGCATTGGAATGAGGGTTGTGATAACAATATCAACTGGCAGTTGCTTGATAAAGTCGATTCGTTTGCTCGCATGGTGTTCAGCATCGTCTTTGATTCGCTGCAGCATAGCATAGTGTGGGTCGTTTGCATCAACAGCATTGAGTCCCTTGAGGCAGATGTCGACAGCTTGACGCCGCTTCCCTTGTTCATTGTAAATGCTGGCTTTGCGTAAGTACCCAAGTGGTGAAGAGGGCGAGAGGTGTTGCATAATGTCGGCATCGCGAAGGGCAGCATTGAAGTTGGCGCACTTTGACAATGCCATGGCGCGTTCATTGAGTGTTGACAGCATGGAGTCAATGGGTTGCGGCAATTGTGTTGTTGCATTGTTGACAAGCTTTGTGTATTTTTCAGTGGAAGCTGTAATAATAGGTTGTTTGCATAAGTCGTTCCAGATAGAGTGGGTCATTGTAGGGTTGGCGGAGGATAAGGAGGAAGTTCAATGCAGTGAAGAAGTGTACCACAAGTCAAATCCCGCTCTCAGCTTAAAATTGCTTGCCAAAGTGGGCCCAATCATTAACGCCTTTATTCGCTTCATTACAACAACGACTCTTTTCTATACTTGACCACCCTCTCGAAAGCTTTACTTTTACTCCTTGTCGACATTGCTTGTTCGCCATCTGCCAACACAATTGGTGTCCAGTCGGCATTCGTCTCTTGCTTACGCGCCATCTCCACAACTACTTTTGGTTGGTCATGACTTACTTTTACTCGCTACAGCTTTCCCTTTTACACCACGCAAAGCAACTTGCACGTTTGTCAATGACCACTTCAACCAAAAACAACCGTCAACAACGTTTGACAACTAATCTTCCTCAAGTCTTTTGTGGGAATCCTGTGCAGCCTGTCTAGTCGAAAGCTACGCAACCGTAACATCAGATACAAGCATAGCGCCAACAAGCGAAGACGATCTCGTTAACTTGTGTAAACGCAATTTGCCATGGTTACAGGTATAGCTACTCACGATGCCATATGAGGTGGAATGTGGGCAGGATTCAATGAGGGGTGATTTGTTTCATATCGCTTACCATCATCTTCGGGAGGTTCCTGCTCAATCACACCCCGCCATGTGGATCTTTACGCGACCTGATCGAGTATTACGGATCAATGCTTCACGATACCTATTGCTCGAACAAGGCTTTTCCACGGAATCACTTTGTCTTTTTCTCTTCGCCCTTACTTTTTGCAATGTTGTTCGATGGTGTGTCATTGTTTTCCAGGGTATGGTGCCCATTGTTACCCCTGGCCAGAAAGTATGAAGGAAAGGTTGATGATTCTAAGCATCATGAGGTAGGTTTAGTGAATGATGGATTGGATGGATACGTTCCCACTTATGGTCTGGTACATGTGGATTCATGCACGCTTGCGGCCTAAGCATGTTGGATGAAGGAAGGACGGTTATAGCGTTGGTATATTGGTAAATGAACGGCCTGATAGCATTGGTATCTGTATTAGTGTAGTCCTTTGGTCTATCAAAATAAAAACGGGTAGCGTGAAGCTTACGGAAAATAACTTTTAACTCAATGATGGCATGATGAATTCTTAAGCACATCACACCTGGTCGCTATTGGATCGCTATCCCGATACAGCCTATTGCAGCAAGCGACATCAACACGTTAATGCTGATATGCAGCTGTGCATTAACGTAAAAAAACATTGCATCCCGGTGATGGCTCCTGAGAAAATACCAACGCAATGTATCCTCTGTATGCACATCCAATCTTTTCAATGCTCGATGACAAGGATGGTTCTCATTTTCCTCTTTATCAACGATCATTCAAGTGATCCTCATCCAATATCAACACCTCGTGCCCTTGTCATGCGGGCAATCCTCATCAATAGAGGTCCCTTGATGATGCTTTACGATGCATAGGTTGAAGGACATGATGTCTAACGTAATATGCACAGGGAATGTTTTGTGATGTATACGGTGCTGCTGCTGTCTGGTAAACGAGCAACGTTGTAGCATCTTGTGTAGCTGTCTTAGAGGAGCACGTTTCATAGGTACATGATGATAAAAATAATAATTTATTTCTATCCTACATAGCAATGAGATATATTTTACTCGAAATCTTCAAAGGAGAGTGAACATTCAACGACGACGATCTTCAAGTCAGGCCGTTGTCCTTGGAGACGCCGTATGTCATCCATATTGGCCACTTTCGAACGATAGAGACGTATACATTTGAGCTGTTTAAACGTTTCAAGCGCATGCCAAAAGTCGTCATGGTGAAGAGTGTTGGTGATTGAAAATGCAAATTCCTCCAAATGTTCAAGTCGTTTCAAAGCATTGATTGAATGGATGGATGGCGCGTTCATGCAATTGATTACGAGATTAGACAAACGAGGACATCCTTTCACAAGCCGCTCAATAAATCTTTCCATTCCATCATGATACCAATCGCAAGGATCCCACTTTTTTGTAAATGTCATCTTCAAACTCTCAAGCTGGCCAAGATGATGGATCGCCTCGAGTACATTGCCGATAATGACCATGTAGTGGAAATGAATATCGAGTTCCTTTAGTTGCGAGTGCTGGGTAAATCGATTGAGATAGGTTGAAACAGGTGATTTGATGTCAACAAGGCGCGATCCATGATCCAACTTCAGTTCCAGCCTCTTTAGCCTGGGCGGTACTGAATCAAGCACAGAAGGGTTGGCTCTAATTGTACGCGACGTTATCTTCAATTCTTCAAGCATAGGTGCGTTGCGTGGTATCCACCATCCAGAGCGAAGCAGACAAAGATTCTTCAATCGATCGTACTCAATGTTGTAAATCTCTTCGGGTTCATTGGGAACATCCACATCAAAATTGATACATTCGAGCGTTTTATGATGCTGCCTTAATATAGGTATAGCATTCCTCCAAGGATCACGATTCCAAAAATTCGACTCCAGAGAAATATCCGTAATCCCAACATCGTCACCTTGAGGTCCTTCATCCATGTAGGTGATACCATAATTTGGATCATCGTTCTCAACTATAACACTTTTCATCCAGGGGTAGTAGTCCAAAACAACTCGTGTCAACTGTGGGTCCTCGCATGGACAAAGATAAAGTGTCTTGAGTGATGGAAAACGCTTGCCAATCGCTATCACCTCTTCACATGTAACAGCCTCTTCTGAATTGGAGAAGCATAATGTCGTTAACTTTGGCCATGTTGTCGTGGGAAGAGAGCTGAAATTGGGAGGAAAGGGCTGAAATGGCAGGCTGATGTCGAGAGAAACCAGATTCGGGCAGTTGTCGAGAATGTCGCCGATTGGTAGTACAACGTGGCCATTTTCCTGGTGGACCTGAAGATGTGTCAACGTGTTGCTGAGTAACTTCAATGATGAAACCAAATCGTCAACGCAATCGGCTGGCAAACCTGATAGAAAAAGGATGAATAAAAACATATCAAGGAATGAGTACAACTTACCCCCAATCCCTAGCTGCCGTAACGAGGAAAAGTTATTATTGCGCAGTAGATCACAAAGCCATGTTCCTCGGACATCACTTGCAAATTCCAATGTCTTGATGTGATCAGCTTGTTGAATGACTTGTGTTCCATCGGGGTCTTCCTCGGCTCCAGGTCCGACATATAAATCATCTGTGGATCGAATAATATAATCTCGCCATATAGTGGATACATGGAAGTAGGTGTTGTCTTCCTTTACACTGATATCAGGATCATCCAGCAACATCGGAATGAGCGTTGTGAATGCAATCTCGGGTGGTAGGTCTCTCACAAAATCAATGCGTGTGTTCTCATGGTGTTCTGCATCCATTTTGGCTTGTTGCAGTGTAGCGTAGTCTGAATCCTTTGTATCAGCCATATGGAGTCCTTTGTTGCAAATATCGATCACTTGACGCTGCTTTCCTTGTTCACTGTAAATGCTGGCTTCGCGTATATATCCAAGTGCTGAAGAGGGCGACAGCTGTTGCATGAGCTTGGCATCGTGAAGGGCGGCATCAAAGTTGACGCACTTTGTCAATCCGGTAGCTCGCTGATCCAAAGCTGACAAGATGGATTGAACACCTTGATGGAGTTGTGTCGTTGAATTGTGGACAAGCTGTGCATACTTTTCAGAAGAGGCTGTAAGTGTGGGTGGGCTGCATAAATCGGTCCAAAGAGAAGGCGTCATTGCTGGTTGGCTGGGAAACAAGAATGGCTGCCCGCACCACCCCTTTTATAGGCTGAATTCCCGCGTCAATAGGGGCTGCATTATTCTACCTTTACTCCAACAACGACTTTTCTTCCACACTTGTGCCAAGCCTTACTTTTTACCCTTTGTCGACATTCCTTGTTCACCATCTGCCAACTAGCATTCGTCTCCTTGGTTACCCGGCATCGCTACAACAACGACTTCCGGTGACTGTTCGCTTGCGTGTACTCGTTTCAGCTCCTTCTTTTACTCCACACTAAACAACTTGCACTCTTGACAATATCGCCGCCACTGAAAACGATCGCCAACAAACAGCATTGCTAAAGCTTGTTCAAGAATGGGCCAACTTGGAAATCTTGGCAGGGCACAAGGTCCTCAACACGGCCATAGGATGTAAACGTGGACCAACCAAACCAAGGCATACCGTAACTTGAATAGATGCACCTTTTCCATGGTTACGGGTATAGTTGGTACGATATCCAAATGAGAGGCTATGTTGTTAGTATTGAAACACAGCTTTTTTTTTGCTTCAGGATGCTTGTCATCATCTTCTTCAAGAGGTACTTTGTCAAGCAAGTCTATCGATATGGATACTTTAGCAACATGGCCGAGAACAAGGATTGCACCTATTGCTCCAACGCGTCTTTTTTCATCATCTCTTCGCTTTGACTGTATTCTCTTGTGATTGTTGCCCGTTGTTTACGGAATAGCGCTGCCTGTTTTTATCCTCGAGCTTCAAGTATTGGAAGATGAGGTAGGTGAAGGTGGCCAATGTATTTTGCGGATACGTATATTCAAGGAGGATCAGGATTGGTATGTGTGGATTTACAAAGTCTTCATACATTATACACGCTGGACGAGATAGAAATGGAAATGGTAGGACTCCTCGTGACTGTGACCGTTGTGGACTATACACATTGGTGTTTCGGTAGTTGTAGAAGGATAGTATTTTGGTAGAGGGCGAAATAAAAAAAGGCATACATCCAATTTTCAGCGTAAGGATTACCAGATGATGGACATAGATAAAGAGCCCATATACTTTGTTAGCCGCTTTTGCTTTGAGTGTCACAAAAACGGTGTGGTATGGTCTTAGTGATGGCACACTGTTATCTTTTTCTTGACACGATGTTGGATGTGACATTGACCATGATGATGGTGGATACAATGAGGCTCGTACATGGGATATGGTCTGGAAATGTATTCTGCCAATGCGTATTCCAGCAAGTGCTATAATGTAAAGGTTACCATTCACATTGATCATTCATAAATACATAATGTCTCGTGAAAGAGAAGCTAGCTATATCAACGTTGTTGCTTTCGTATTGCACTTACAGGTAAGGTTTAATGATGTCTATGTGATAATCATCGCGCATCAATTTTATAAGAAAAACACACTCACACTTCACCTGATAGAGTCCCGTTTACCCAATCACGTTACTACTTACAGCATTCAGAACACAAGAAACATCCCATTGTGTGCCATGTTCATGAAGGGGATAAATAGCACCAATCATTCTTGTTCTGTTAGGGTGGAACAATGCTACATGCAAGGATAAAGGTAGCTTCCATCATGTGGCCATCCAATAACGAGTACACCTTTAAGCTTTGTTTTCTCAAGCGTCAACAACATCAGGCTATTTTAAGCGTAGTTGTATATATACTCTATCATGTGATTTGGATGTGCTCTTATTGATTGCAGCGTAATCAAATGGCTAATCACCCTTGTGTGCAGTGCTCCAACCACCATTGCTTTAAAGAGTGGATCACATTGTATCGACGATAGTTGGTTGTTTATACTAAGAGCTCGTTTATTGATCCAAGTAATGGTGAAATGGGTGGCTATCATACAATGGGTAATTTTGTTACACAACATGCTGGAATCGTTTCCTCCCATTGACTTCCCCGACCTTGTCCTCTGTCCACCACCAACTCCTCAGCCCACCCGATCGCTTCGCATGTCTTCACAGCAACTGAATGCAACAACACACGGCACCAAGATCCAGCAATTCGTTACGTGGACCCAAGTCATCCGATGGCGACAGGCTGCTCCATTGCGTTAATCGGAGAAGCTGGATCTACAGCACAGGCACTTGGCTGGTGGCCAGCAACACATCATGCATATCAACGGTCGTCATAGCCAGCACGTTCACCAGATCAATAAGAAACTTAAGGTAGAAATGGATTGGGTGATTCCTTGGGGTCCTTTATTGAGGGCTATATCGTTTATATAGGAGGATGCTGCTATACAATGACCAAGGATTACTGTATACATCAACACGTAAGTTTGCATCATCTTCAGAGAAAGCTTTGGAAACGCTACCTATCGATGAGAATGACGAAGGATTTGGATTAGTATTGCTGAAGCGGTTGAGGAATCGAATTTTTATGCAAGCCATTGTGGATCACCATCATCACATTTATCACAAGCGACTGTGGATCATCACCATCACATTTATTGCAAGCCACTGTGGAACACGATAATCATCATCGTCGTCATTGTCATACCCATCAACCCATTTATTTGCCACCTACGTCTCTGGAATCCCAACGTCAGTGTGTGCCATGATTATATGATTCGAATTACATATCACCATCGGCAACCCTTGTGTACAGTGAGTGATGGCGATGACGCGTTTGTTTGAGGGAAGAGATGATAATACACAAGGTATGTATATGTGAGGAGATCCGGGATGGAAGTAAAAGCCTTATGAGTACAATTTATATAGCTTATCAATGCCTTGGCTGTCATGGAAGCGTTCAATCAAAAAGGGGGTTAGCAAGAACATGGAAAAAAGTAAGCATGGGAATCCCGGAAGGAGTGATCCAACATTTTGTGTAACCATTCAAATAAACATGGATTGTGGATCATCAGCATTTTCTTTTTTGTGATCTTTCTTTTTCCTTCATCACTTTTTACAAAATGACCAAACGTGGTTTATCTTCTGGTATGATAAATACGATTATTTGCTATTCAGTGGCTGAAAAGAAACTTTGTCCTTGTAGATACCACCAGTCGCAGTGGCAAAGCATTACGACGTGATGATCCCATGGTTCTCGCTGCTGATGCTTCAGAGTTATCCACGGCACCATCAAATCCACTCGATCGAGGAACCACATTGGGCTCACCTTTTTCAGAAGAAACCTCAAAAAGTAAGACCACTGCTTTGTGCCACAACGAGCCTTGTATAACAAACGTGATGCATGACAACAATAGGTCTTCCAGAAAGCGATGTTGCATGCTACATCTCGCTACAAAGCACCTCGGATTACGACAGCGAATACGACGAGTATGTATACTACAACGGCAAAATCAATGGCGCAGTAGCTCATACAGGAATGGAATTAGGGATGATGACGATGAGTATGATGATGGTCAGGGCGCTTTCACATTTGACACGAGACATGAAAGGTAAGCGTTTGTAGTACTTGAACTAAACATCTATTGACATCTTTTTGTGACACACTGTAGGGCTGCCATCAAAGGACAAGCAGGGTACAGTAAGCCATACATGGAAGGTGTGATTTTGTGATGATGTTATAGTAATCATCTCCTGATTAAGGGCTGACAACAACCGTATGCGTGTATTTGGGATCGAGATCATGGACAGACGATTTGGCGCAGCTATACGTGATTACCTGTACAAGGAAAATGCCTTTCCCTCCAAAAACGATGACGCCTGTATCCATCTTTGCAAGCGAGTCCTTCGTATTCCACAAGAAGAAGAGATTGGTGCTACGGATCAACTTCAAAAAAGGGTATGCAGTGAGGGATCAAGGCACGCATGGTTCAATATTATTCACATCTGTTTTCAAAAGTTCAACAGGTCCATCTTTTGCAACCGCAGCCATGTATCGCACATTATCAACGTCATTATGAAGACCTACACGTTTGATACGCCCACGCTCCCAGAAGTATGCAAAAGCAGCCGTAAAAGACAAATGAAGTACATGGTGGATGCCATGAGGTAATTGCAACCCAAAAGCGTATCATTTCATATATTAACGTCTAGCAAACAAGGTTTGCCCGCAAAGATTACTTGTCAGCAGGAGCTATATTACAAAGTGCTGCTTTGGGTGATGTGATAGCCAAGGGATTTTATGCCACCGGAGGAGTTGGATTATGCTTTCAGACCCCAGAAGACCAAGTGCCGCGACCTGTCATTGCCCTCGCGTTTGTCTTTGTAAGTGTGTGTATGCATATATGTGGCATACAGTGTTACCATGTTGTCCATAAAGTAACAAAAGGAATTAGATGTACATCCACATGGGCAAGTTGTGTCGAGGAAAGAGGGACCAAAGGCCATTGAATAATCGTCGTGCTAGCGTATTTCGAGCATCTCTCTACCACAACACATTACACGGTGCCTATGAGAATGGAGAGAAAGTGGATTGGGATGAAGTACAACGTGTACAAACCGAGCACGTGCGTCAAAAACTGCGTTATCAAGGAATGTGCGATGTTTCTCCATTTAGCGCAGCTTATCAACCAAAGTACCAAGACGGGGTGTACGTGTCTGATAGTGGTGAAGATTAGCTTTATTTTGAACAACATTAGCATGGTAATGATGAATACGGATCTATTGCAAATGATGGATTAAAAAAGAGTTTGCTGAAAAAGAGAGATGCATAAATGTTTGATTCGTGAGCAAGATGATCATCATGCAAGTAATACTTTCCCATCCCTTGTCTCGTGAATTCGTTTTTGATCGCCTCACTATTTGTAAATTGATGCCAATGACGATGCACTCTTAAAATTGGCAACAGCCATCATTCGCCTTGCTCCATGTTTAGAAGCCATCAAGATCTATATTCAATCAGGGGACGATCATCATCAAGCATTTGTCGGCATGACCTAGTTGAAACGTTTGAAATGTCTTTAACCAAGATGTATAGCACCGTACTCGAATTCGCTTAATTTTTTATGTAGCATCACCTTAATCTTGGTGAGACTCATCCCTCCAAGTGATGTGATTGCTACTGCACCCTGATATGAGTACACTTGGTTACGTGCGATTGCTCAACTAACCAACTTGTGACGCCTTGAAATCGGGATCAAATCAATACCGTTTCCTAGAAATTACGTTGCCATGATGGATGCACTTGCGCAAAGACGTTTGGCATTAGAGCATCTTGAGTTGAAAGGCGGTGCTATGGGTCTACCAGATGAATGTCTTGTTCTCTTTGATGCTCATCCTGGCAATAAACGTTTAGTGATTGCGGCTGAAATCATTTCCAATCATGATATCATTGCTATTTTATCCATGCCAAATTTGCAATACCTTGACCTCTTAACCCTCATGGATGATCGTACATTGGAAACCTTAAAAAACAACATTCCTCGCGTTAAATACAAGCCATTATCCGCTTTGGATCGCCTAGCATCCTCTTTACTCTGATAACAAAACAATTACTTTTTATCACGGCTGTCGGCTAGACACTACTGCACATGAGGGCAAATAATAAAATAGTGGGATTGAATGCCTGTATATGCACAAGTAATGAGGGGGGGGCATGATTGGCAACTGATTTACCCAGCTAATGATGAAGATGCATACACGAATTGAAAAAGCCATCCATCACGGTACCGATTGCTAATCTTCTGGCCTGATGCTTGAATCCTGTGTCCCTGTATTCATTGACCAACGCCATACTATCATTTGTTTAATAACTCGAGCTTTAAAAGGCATCCACAAATTGCATAAGAGTATGATGTTTGCTCCATCCTTCTCGATCCACTTTGAGGGTCAACATGTAAACCAGCATCATTGTTTTTTGCTATCATCTTGCTGATTGCTTTTATTTTGATACACCACAATACTACAAGCTAGCAAAACCACCACCAGGCAAATGCTCTCTAAGCATATCCTTGTTCTCTATCCAGCGTGTTTGATACGCGAGCGCATGTCCCTCTAAATAGCATCACAGCAAAAGTTCATCATCCAAACGTACCTTATCATCATTACCCGTTCATCCATGACTTGGGCACCAGGTATACCAACACTCTTCACAATCCATTCCACAATGGGACCATCCAATAATGTCGCGATAAAACAAAGAGGTGAAAAACGACCCGTGATGCTTGAAGAATCACCCGCTGAAAAAGAAGAAGAAGATGATGATGATGGTGATGGTGACCATCTTGAAACAACTATTCCCTGTTGGACCATACGTACCAGCGATTTGATAAAGTTCTATCCTTTGGACGTGGATTTGCAAACATGGTTGGATGGATGTGAGGTGACGTTTGGGTGCTGATAGCGAATCGCATGCATGGCGTATCAAAACATGGGTGATAATGGTTGTAGACGGCTGACAGGTTGCACATGAAGGATCATGATGATAGCAGTTGCCATGAATCGCGCGTGTAAAGTACGGTAATTGGATGCATCAATCGCCCTGGGTGATAACGTCAAGGTCAACCTGACAATGGATACGTAAGAACAAGGGCTCTTTTTCCACGCGTCGTTCATATACCCACATTCTTCCGTCGCATGTACATACCAAACGAAGATTCAGAATCCATCCCCATAAAGATAAAGAGTCGTGTGTACTGGAACAAGTTGCTGCACGCAAGTAAAGCTGCTTTTTTTTTTTACATATGGCTATCTGCTGTTCACGTAAAAAGGCTGTAAGACGGGTTGCTGCAAGTGACGATTGCTGTTCGAGACAATGGAGTGAAGACAATGCCAATGACAACTGCTGTTATGATTGGTTGTGGCAGAGGAATGTGCAAGAGCGTGTGTAGTATGAAGAAAGGTAGGTGTTGCAGTAGAGTGACAGGGTTGTGTATACGCGATGGACTTGCCATTCAGTCAAAGACAATCGGATCGAGTCAGCTGCAGGATTGACATGATGGGTTGAAGCAGGACAATCGTTTGCTGGTGGTAGTTGTATACTTGAATGGGGCAACAGTTGAGAATGGGAGGAAGAGGGAATAGGTGGAAATTAAATAGATCGGACACCCCTTGTATAAATGCATGAACACTGTACATCAATTCTTGATAATGAGATTACCCTTCTCGAACCTGAAACTTTCACACAAGATGCTCTTGGACATGCTGATCAACATTCTATTAAAAAAGACCTCATGTTTCATTTGAAAAATTGGAATGGGAGGGTGCAATGTGGGATTTAGTATGGAGGTCGGAAAGTAGGCCAGAGCCGGATTCATGATTTATCGAAATAGTACGAATTACCTTGGGATTCCGCATCTCGAACATGAAACTTTGTCAGAAGGTTCGCTAGGACATGCTGGTCAACCTCATTCATTTAAAAGCTTCAGGCTTCATTATGAAGATTTAAAATGCGGGCCGCCCCAAAATAAGAGGGATGATGATTGAATGGAAGACAAGTAGCGTGCCCCCGAGATTGCCCATCCCAAGCCCGAAACTTGGTCACATGATACTCTCGGGTATGCTGAGGCAGTTTGTCATAAAAAAGGTACCACGTTTCATTATGAAAATTGTGAATGGGGGAAGGAGGGTGCCAATGTGTGATGATGGTCGAACAGGGTCTAAACCAAAAGTTTATGAGAGAAGCGAGCAACAAAGTGGGGCTGGTCATCCTTTCGTGATTATGTAATATCCCCTTTGTGGCATTCGTCATCCACAAGAGGGTTGATTATGTAAGCGTGCAACATGAATGAATCTCTCGGAGAAAATACGGGATATCCGCACGTGCCTTTTTTAAAACCCACTGCATGAACTGAACCAGCTGCATGAATGACCCATTTATTATCGACAAAGTCTACTACTTGAAGGCAAGTATGAAAACATCATCATGATTTATCAACCTTGTGGACCTATACTTGTATTCTTCATCTGGTACTTCCTCCCTTTGCAATATACGTGTCAAGTCGATAGACAACTCTGTTGCATCCTCATATGGAGGAGTGGTGGTTGTTGGAGCTTCAGCTATACGTGTATCATCACCATGGCAATCATGTTGTTGTCAGTGCAACGTGGGAACCAAAAAAAAAGTTTTTCAGTGGCTTGATGCGGTGGTAAAAGCTCACAAGAAAACATGCTTGTCAGGCATCGTCCTTTTCCTCTTGTCTTGTATACACGTACACGTCGTCTTTTCTTCCATGCAAACAACGAAGGTAATGGTGAGCATGAGAATTTACGCGACCCATGTTTGACTTACAGTGTACGATTCACCCTCCATCTGAAACGAGGACACCCATGATTCTGTTACCTTGCGCTGTCTGTACCAGGCTTGCACCGTCTATCAGCTTCGTATGTTAGCAATATGGCCCACTCTTGTCACTATCAACAGCATGTTATCTTACCTACCAGCCATTTTTCTACAGCAACCTTTGCCTTGTTACGCCGCTCACAGATGTATTGACCTTTCTTGTGCACCGTATTCAGCTGATACTGCAGGTCGACAATGATCTCCCTTACCAGCTCTTGTATCTAGACGTGGATTAGGATGACGATCCAAGTACACCGATTTCAGCTGGTTGTGTCAGCTTCGACGTAGTTGTTGGTATCAATGGTGTCGACTCCACCCATGGCGATGTGGTCTCTGGTGAGGAATCCAAGAACTCCTTCTTCGGGTCCTCTTGCTCGTTCTCGCATCTCTTTTGTCTCAGGATCGGATGACGATTGGATCGTGGAGATGCTGCTATTCCATGTACGAGGTACATGCCAAGCACAGGACTTGATCTTATGCAAGCCGCGACGCTCTTTCCTCTGTCAACTTGCAATCGATGGTTTTGGCTTCGATCTTTTTTGATTCAAGATACATGTAAGTACTGGATAGGCCTGAGAGGTGGCGATAAGGTAAGCAATTGGGGAACCACGCCATAAAATGACGAAGGTATTCATGAGAGTGTTTGGTTTCAAATGTCGGCGTGCCATTAAAAAGTTCACCAACTGCTTTACATCATCCGCCATGGTGTTAACTTGAGGATGTTGACCTTCTTGCCAGTAGGATAATGGATGGCGGCGTCAACACATACACCATGAGCCTGAGCAGATAGAGTTTGATGCCACATTGTCGAAATGAATAAAGCAAACTTGTTGTCATCCAAGCGGCTGTAGTAGGCAAAATGCCCTTTCCCTATGTTATATACGTTAGCATTCAAATATATATATATCCAACCAATATATAGCACATACCTGTGAGCTCTGCATGTTCATTATCGTTTCGAACATCCATCCTGTTACACAGGCTGCTCAGGTAAATAACTCAAATTGGACATGTGTGTCACGAGCTTGCATAATCCCAAAAGCAGAATTAGCCATAGCTTGGATAGCGTTATTGCATCCAACACCTCTGTGTGTGTATGAATAACTTACTTTATCCTTTACGATGATCAACGAAGGTGTTCATTCAAAATAGGAAACGTGTGCCATGATAAACGATCGTTTGCGAAATGTTACACGAGGATCGGTATCATCATCTCCTTCACCCTGAACAAGCATTGTCTCCTCAAGAGATATTGTACGGATCCAAGTCATGCGTTTATCTCCATGATGATGGGGTTAGCTTTTCCCTTGTAGTAAAGACTGATACATTGAAGCAGGTAGGAAGATATTGTACAACATTTTCATAACAACTAGGCCCTGTGTGCGGCGTAATCATCATTTCCCAGCTTTGAGCTAATAACTCGCTTTGGGTGTACTTTTATCTTCCATGTCGATAATGTGGATGATATCATACTTTGCAGCCTTTTCTTTTATTTTGATAATGACACGAATGCATGTCACCATGGAGATGATGATGATGGTGATCATGGCGACGGTTGTGGCGGATGTTTCCAAAAATGGACAGGTCCAATCCGCTGTGGGGTTTAATTTCATTTTAGGTGTGCACCATGCATCATTATCCTCCTTAAACGCAACGGCACACACACGCCACGTAACAGTTTACAACAAAGCTTCTTCACGTTCCAACAGCAAGCGTACATTAGTCCTAGCATTACGGCATGTCAAGCTTGAAGCATGGAGTCATCTGATGGGTCAAGCGCGCCAACTCTGATGGCGACCATGGCGACTACCCCACTCGACGACACACTTTGAGGTAATATAAAACATTGGATTGTAAATAAGAAAGCACTCAATGATGATGCTGATAGAAAAATGCTGGATTACGCCAAATTGAGAAACAGAGCCAAGAAAGAGCATGAGCAGAGTAAAAGGATCGACTTTGTTGCCGAGCTTCCAATGGAGATTGTTATTTCAAGGCTCATTCCAATGTTCATGGATCAATATATCCATTCATGGGGACCATGCCAATACTTGAATGTATCGAGACGATGGCGCGTGCGGATTGTTGAATGTTTTCGAGGATTGTATTTTTGGGTGCCTTATGATGTGGAGCGCAATTATCTGTGGTCACCGCTTATTCAGTATCCTCAGTATGCAAAAGCGTTGTACATTGAAAGGTACCGCAAATGGTGGACGGATGATTTATTACGAGGGCTCAACCTTTGTTCGTTACGAGAGCTTGTTGTTAATGGTAGATGTCGATTCATTGATGGAAATGAGTGTGCTTGGATTGACCACCTTTTTCTTTAAAAAAAAAAAGGCCCGGATGATACCATAGATCGTTTACTTCCGACATTGAGATCAACCTGCAAAACCCTGAGGCGTCTTACCGTATACCCGCATGTATCCTTATACGACCTTTTATTGGCTTTCCCCAAACTCGCCTCCTTGACCCTATCCGAATGCCATCATCACTCTTTCAACTCTATCGGATTGACAACATGGCCCACTCTCACAGCACTCTCCATAAGCTGTGTATCAAGCAATATGACAAGCAATATGACGTGTGATGAAGTAACATTGATTTGCAAGAGTTTTCCTGCACTTAAAGAGCTTGAACTTTGTGCATGTGCTGATATGCAATGTGTTTTCGTTGTCTCGGATGCTTTTCCCTCTTTCACATACCTTTACATTTTGGTCTACAACAATGCTGTTAGGCTAAAGTATACGGATCAAGGACAACGACAGCATGCACAAGGGATAACACATCTTGATCTCTGGGGTTCCACACAGCCAAACATCACTTGCAAGGACATCTTTTCGTTATTAAACAAGCATCGTACATCACTCGAGTTCCTGGAGTGGAGGCTGACCCTTGACAAGGATGATCATGACGTGTTCGGCATAGCGTATCCTCGTCTCACAAAACTTTTACTCGGTTGTTCAGGATGGTGGATACTACGTAACGTTCCCCTGCTTGAGGAATTGCATATAACATGTGACACCATCGTGGACCATCCTGCTGTGCTTGATAGGATACCAGCCAATCTTCAAAAGTTAAAGATGGACCTTACTCCCTGCTCCCCATTCCCATATATGACATCCATCACACGCTTTTTCCAGCTCCACGATGCACGAGCTTACTGTTTGAGCCAGCTTATCATACACACCCACAAAATGAAAGATGTCGAGATGATGCTTGAAAGTATTTGTCACTTGAATCAACTTGAGCGTTTGATGATCTGCTATTTGACTTGGGATGTCTCCCCAATGGAAACGTTTATTGATCAACTTGCCAACGGATGCCATCGTTTATCATGCCTCAAGCTCTTTTGTCGCACAATGCCATCACAACATGCTGTCGATGCGTTGAAACGGCTTGAGTACTTAAACCACTTTGCATTTGACGTTGAAGAAAGGGATCGTAGCCGCGGGAAGTTTTGGGATGCCATTGAAGCATTGACTCAGCTCAAGTGTATTGAGGTTTACTGCAGAAAGATGTTCCAACTTTCGGAAATGAGACGCGTTAAGCAAAAAAGACCAGACATGGAGGTGATTGTTAACAGGAAGGTCTTGCCTTTTTGAATATGTATCTATTAATAAACACCTTTGACACCACAATCCTTTCCTCCACGACGACATCTAAGATGATCTCTGTTGCCAGCGGGATGCATACCATGGGTTCTTTCAATAACAGCAAACATGTTTACATCGTCGCACCCTATATATCCTTATATTTGACCCTTTGCCCATTAACGCTTATGGTGATAAAAAGTCATGATGATGCTTTTAATGAATAATCTCCATATGTTTACGTAGATAATTAGCTATGTTTTGGCAATGATAAGCGTATCGCCGTGTTTTCACGCTTGCTCGCCACCAACTTGCCATCCGTAAAATCCCAAGCGCTGTGACCATAGGCGGCAATATCCAGATCCAGATCCAATACCTTCCATGATTTGACATGTTGAAAAAAGGATCTTCCTCAACCCATCATGATCCAACGTCTCTCCTTCACCGATCCAACCACTGTGATCCCTTTTTCCTTGGCATCCACCCGAGGAACATCAAATCCGGTTTCCATCTCACGGCCATACGGAGATCGTTCTTAGGTGTGGACGTTGCTGAGATAAAAGAGGCGAGATGCGTGAATCCTTGGGCATAGCCGAAATCTCAAACGACACCAAAAATAGGCTCCATACACCGACCAGGTTGTTCTTTGCAATGCTCTCTTCAGAAAAGTTGTGTAATCCAAGATGGGTCAATCGAGGGTATTGCAAAGATCCAATGGATGATGGTATGACGGCGTTCGCGTTGTGGGATTTCAAGAAAATCAAATTGGGGCAGGTTTGCAACGAGACGGAGCGATGGATTGTAGCCAACATCCAAGTGTGTGTCCATGTATTTGCCACCATAGCCAAACCTTTCAATTGAGATTTGTTCGCTTCACCTATATAGATATCTCATGAGTTTCCAATTCTCACTTTGATCCATTCATATACTTACTGCCTAGCTTTAACCTTTCAAGCATGAAAACTTGCGCGTGAAAAGAGATCCACCAAATGCTTGTTCCTCCTGACAATGAGATCCAGCAACTTGAAGTAGAGAGCAAATCGAACAAGCTGTTCATGGCCTTTACGGAATGTACGAATCTCATAGTCCACCTCAAAGATTGAACCATGTTGGGGTATACGTTGCTGCCAAGGATCGGACACATGGAGACAAAGACAATATCCCGTGGATGATAATACGGTGAGCATGAATCTTGGTATGATATAGGTGGATACCACGTCTATAGGCAATTGGCTGATAAAGTTGATACGATTGTTGCTCATCGTCTTTGCTGCTATGCGTTGCTGCTGAAGCTCATGATAATGCGGATCGGATGATGATGATGATGATGATGATGATGCGTCAAGTCCCTTTGTGTATATGGCCACAGCATCTTCAGCACGACCTTGTTGACAATAAACATCGCCTTCACATAGATAACCAAGGGCTGAAGTGGGTCGTATTCTCTGCATCGCGGCTGCATCGCGTAACGCGGCTTCAAACTGGGCACTGGTAGCTAACAGCTTTGCTCGATCACGGAGAGCGCAGTAGAATTGGGATGCGCTTTGTTGTATAATGTCGATGGCTGCCTCAATCTGTTTGCTGTTGTTACATTCCTGGACAGGGATTGTGGTTGGGCCTTGTAATAGATCGGGAGAAGGTGTGGTGTCTTTCATGCTAGTAAAAAGCGCGTGTCGGAAGGAAGGTCCACGGACTCTAATTATTCCGAGCCCTCTCTCTAAATAAACACGCTTGTGTCACCGTGCCGGATGATGATGATGATGATCATTCTTGTTATTGCACTCTTATCTTTGACTCGTTTGATGACATCAGTTCCATTCCAAGTCTATTTGAAATGTCTGACACATGCTATGCTATGCAGTTATGATAGTTAGGTACATGTACTCTTTTACACCACTCGTTTGAGATAGCGGTGGATGGCGTAATAATCTTTGTTTGCATAAGAAGCAAGCGCATGTATCGCCGTCTAGAGTACGATGTGTCAAGTCCAATGACTTTGCTATGTATGTGGGTGATGGCAATTTCTACTTTGTAGAGCATAGGCATGATAGCTGTAGGATACTGGGAACGTAAAACTCTGTATTGCTTGGGCCCCCTACTAACGTAGTGAGGATGGTACATTCGCTCCAGGGACGCTGGTGCGGTTCAACGTCCAAAGAGCTGTATGCAAGTACTAGTTTGGTTCTTGGAAGATATGCATCTTTGTTTACATACATTGCATTATCAACATTAGCCGTGGATCTCACTATTTACGACAACAGGTGCCTCATTATCATGATGATAGTGTTTATTGACGTTGATTATTAATTAATAATCAAATCAAGCCATTTCTGCTATCGTACACTTGGTGGTGAAGGGGACGTGAAGGTGTAGAAGCACAAATGAGAGAGGTGCGATGTTTTTGTGTGACACTGCTGATGTTTGCGATGATGATGGCGTACATCCCTTTCTGAAGTCTCTTTTGCGAAAGATGCAGTACGGCTCTTGCGATCGGCATTGCTGCATGAACAGTATTGTAAGGTGCAACCAACTCGTAACCTGGTTTTTTATGTGCATGGCAACACAGCTTTGTATAAACGTTGTGCCGGTTGTATGCATAAAGGACGTCATGTGCAGTTACGTTGACATGGGTGTATGGCATTCATGATGAGCATGCTGCATAAGGATGGATTCATCATATGCATAGAACGAAATACGGATCGTACAAACACTCTACAGATTCAACGTTGACCTGGTTCTCGTGGAGAAGATGTGCATGTTTGTTTACAATGTCCCAAGGTTCGCTTGTTTGGCAATGATGGTGGATATACATCTAGCTCACAATACATTATGTAGAGCTACGCATTCTTCTTGGGGCATCGGCAAAGGCACACCGTAACCACTAAAAACAGAGGTGGGAATGTTTTCTCTGTGATCAGTAACCAAAATTGCCCATCATCGCTACATCCAAAGCGTGCAGCTGCATGCTTGTTTTCTTGCATTCCATGAAGGAAAAGACATTACGCCATTTTCGCAACAAGAGCCATTGCATCTTTGTTGTGTATCGATGCTTTTATGCCAGCCTTGTTGCATTTGAACTCTTGTATTGCATATAAAGGATGGCGAATGTCTGACATTTTTCATCATCTCATCAAGGGTCCTTTTCTTCCTCTTTTACTGGCGAAGCATCCACTCAAGAAACTTCCATTATGCGTGCTGTTACTCTTATCGTTGCTACCATGGCTCTTCTCTTGGTCTCATCTACTACCACGAGTGCCGATCCATGTCTTGACTATTGCCGGGGCGACCCAGAGTGCGAATGCATCGAGTGTGACTTTTGCTGATAATGTAATTCTATCCAAGTCCACCAACGCTGCCAGATCCGGATTCCGTGATAGCCCAGTGTCCATCCAATAAAAATGCATGCATTCACAATTGTCAACTACACTGCACATGATCTCCTCGCATCTTGTCCATGATAGTGTTTTCCATAGAAGCTTGTTTTGTATGAATACTCTTGCCACTACGGTGTATACCAATTACAATCATTTCTCTTTATTTCACAATGACTATAGGGCGTAGTAATACAAAGGGACCAAACCATCATGATGGTGCTATCAATAAATAAGCTGAATGCGTTTGGGTAGGGAATCAACTATGTAATCTGGTGGAGGGAAACAAAGATAAACACGTTCTAATTTAGGAAAATTGGCAAGACAAAATAAATCCTCATCTTCTAGATGATCACCAATATAGAGAGACCTGAGATTTGGGTGTGGACAAAGAACTTCAATGAGACCATCCTCGAGATGGGTACTGGGATAGCCGAGCATCAAGTCATCCAATGCCGGACATCCGATGCTGAGTTTCGCCAAGAAAGGTATACAATCACGCCTCATGCGATCCGCAAATAGATCAAGCTTTTTGAGTTGTTTCAATCCGCACATCAATGGTAGCCATGCAACGTCAGAGAGTTGATCCGTATCAAAGGTGACTTGGATATGCACCAGTGTTGAACGATCTCCCAAAGCCGCATGATGTTGCAAGAGGGGTCCAATAGCAGCATCCTTCACCTTCCCAAACACGTCATTTACGTGTAGTTTTTTCAAATGCTTGAGTTGTTTCAATCCTTGTGTTGTATCCCTGGTGAAGCGTGATTCTGGGACGGTGATAGACTCAAGCTGAGGAGCATTCTCCAAAATCCATGGAAGACAAGGTGTTGATGAATAATCATCCCCTGCTATACGAAGCGTTTGCAAGTTTGGAAAAGACATGGGTACCACCTTTCCATGACGGATCAAATTGCCATCCTTCAAACCCCAAGAGCTGTGGCCATCATCTTCATCCTCAATATCAATGTCCAAATCCAATTCTTTCAATGTTTGGTGATGCTGACTCAGGAACGTTATCAACCCATCTGGATCAAACATGTCGTCTTGACCCAAACGGGCCACTGTGATCCCTTTTTCCTTGGCATGAATAATAGGTTTGGTATCCTTCTCCTCCATCTCACGGCCATAGAAAAGCGTTCTTAGATGCGGACATTGCTGTGTCAATAGAAGCAAGATACTTGAATCTTCAGGCATAGGCGACATCTCAAACGACACCAAGTTAGGAAATAGGCTCAAGACACGGACCAGATTATCCTTTTCAACATTCTCCGGAGAATAGCTGTGGATGCCAAGATGGGCCAATCGAGGGTATTGCAAAGATCCAATGGATGATGGGATAACGGCGTTCACATCGTGGAATCTCAAAAATGTCAAATTGGGACAGGTTTGCATGATATCACGTAAATGCAGGGATGAATTGTAGCCGAGATCCAAGTGTGTCAATGTATCCGCCACCATAGCCAAACCTTTCAATTGAGACTCTGGCGTTTCACCTATACATAGGTATATGTGAGTTCCCTTTCTCCCTCTCTATCTCTTTGATCCATTCCTATACTCACTGGCTAACTTTAACCTTTTCAAGGATGAAAACTTGGCACGTGACAAAAGGTTGACCAGATGCTTTTCTTTCCTGACAATGAGATCCAAGGACTTGACGTAAGGTGTAAATCGAATAAGCTGTTCGTGGCCTTCACGGAATGACGGAGCCTCATAATCCACCTCAATGCTTAAACCATGTTGGATGATACGTTGGTGCCAAGTATGGGATACATAGAGATAAGGACAACACCCCGTGGATAACAACACCGGCATGAATCTTGGTATGATATTGGTAGAGACCACATCGATAGGCAATTCGCTGATAAAGTCGATACGTTTGTTGCTGCTGCTGGTATTTGTCTTTGCTGCTGCTGTTGCTATGCGTTGTTGTTGTTGCTGCTGCTGTTGCTGTAGGTCATGATAATGTGGTTCGGATGCAGGCACGGCTTCAAGTCCCTTGTTATAGATGGCCACAGCATCTTCAACACGACCTTGTTGACAATAAATATCGCCTTCACAAAGATAACCAAGGGCTACAGTAGGTCGTATTCTCTGCATCGCGGCTGCATCGCGTAACGCGGCTTCAAACTGGGCACCGTTGCCTAACAGCTTTGCTCGATCATGAAGAGCGTTGTACAATTGGGATGGGCGTTGCTGTATAATGTCGGTGGCTGCCTCAATCTGTTCGCTGCTCCTACATTCGTGGAGAGGGATTGTTGTTGGGTCTTGTAATAGATCGGGAGAAGGTGCGCTGTCTTCCATGTTGAAATCAAGAGCGCGTAAATATTCGGTGCCCCCCTCCCTAAATAAACACACTTGTGCAACCATGCCGGAATATGATGATTCTTTGCCTCTTATCTTATGGCTCCTTTAATGATGTCTCCGCATCACACGTATATGTTAATATGCCAGCTGCACGCTACAGCATGCAAATGGAATGTGTCCATTTCAGTGCAGTGATGGTGTAGCTGCTGAGGTGTTTAAGAAACGCTTTGTATGTACGTTTTGATGACTGATCAGGTCATTTAGGTTGGTTGAGTCGCCGAAACCGTAAAACAGGTGGCACCGATTTATGCAACTAGCCTTCAGATGCGGTGAGCTTATCCACTCTATCAGCTTTGCTATGCCATCCAGCTATTGTGATAAGGTCACATGTACTCTTTTCCACCACTCATTCTATCCTGGTACAAACCCAAATTGCTACATACATGATCATCATCCTCACAAGCATTCAATGATACAACCATCTTGAGGCGTAAAAAGAGGGTATTTACTCCTGTACCTTCATCCCATAATAATAACTATTCTAGGAATGACTATCCGATCGATAACATGATGACTTGGAGATTCTGCGATGGATACTCACAATGACAAACACCTAGCATGTGGCTGTTGTATGCTTGGTTTTTATTCCTTGACTGTGGTGTAAATACAACAACCTTCACTAGAAAATAGGCGTGGGCATGCCCACTTGGATGAGGTATACCGTTGTTAGGTCCATCATCATCATCATCATCATCATCATCATCATCATCATCATCATCATCATCATCATCATCATCATCATCATCATCATCATCATCATCATCATCATCATCATCATCGTCATCATCATCATCATCATCATCATCACCGATCCCATTCAACTTACCAATGATGACATGTGGGTATCTTGGCATTTGTTTCTTCGCGTTCAGAGGGCGTCTCAAAGGTATCCTAGGCAACTCGCCACGTTCGGCAAGGGAATCTCATTGTGGAATTCAATGTGGTGGCGCATTCCAGAAAACTTTTTGTTTACAATGGCCGTACTAGATGGAGGGAAGCGATCGGTAAACTGGTGCTTGTGTATACTTATTGATAGGTAGGGATAATACTGAACGTGTAGGGCTGGTTGACTTCGGGCAAAAAAGATTGGGTAGCTGTCTCGGAGCGGGATTCGGTCAATGCCATACCCGCAAGATGCATGCACGTGACCCCCTCATCTTCCCGTAACACCTGCAAATACAAAGATGACTTTAGTTTTGATCATTTATCTTGTATCCTATACAAATGAGACCGTCATTGATACCCATACATTGCTCCATGTTAAAGACAATAGCGTGCGTAATGTGAAAGAGATGATTGACATGTCCTGCAGCTTTGTTTGGTGGTACATTGTTACACGTACCATCACTTTTTCACCTTACACCCTATCCATTCTCAATACTCGAACCCCTCTTAAGAATAAAGACTTTGACTATAGTACAGACCTCCAACTCGATGGACCATGTTTTTGGGCCTTGTATAGGATTAACAGCACCTCGTCATGTTAAAGGCGTATGACAATCCAAGGCAATATTTACACACGTCTCTATATGCTAGGAGTTCTAATGGGATTACAACTGTGCTTTTACCATACTCTGTGGTGTTGGTGTAGGATGTGGCCATTTGGTCTTGCCTTGCATGCTGTATCATGAGCTGGATGATTCACCCAATATACGTTGGGCGAAGGATGGTACGTTTAGCTGATGATGAAGGGCTTTTCGGGTATGTTTGTTCACAGCGAGGGAAGGATTAGCAGGCATGTGGTATCGAATCAGGAGATCTTTGGTGATGTGAAAACATGGTAAGAGCAATCCTACTGGATGAAGGGGTTCGATTGGTGGTGGCTATGTAGCTGTTGCAGGATAGCCTTGTGGTATGTACAAATAAAAATGGTAAGCATTCAGTTGTGGATTGATCATCAGTACACGATGCAGTCTTAGAGCGGGTACAATTATCGGATGGAAGACGAAGCCGTCACGGTATAGAATGAATTACAACATGATCGCTGGCAACGGGTTATTTTTATTGCATATGTATCCAATTTTACACTCTATAGACTATCCACCATGCTGTCACCGAAAAAAAGATGATGTTTAAGTGCATCAAGATATAATGATCTTGTACATTGGTAAACCAGGATATGGTGAACTACAAATGAGAATGATAAACCTTGTTCTTTTGAAAGATGCGTTGGTATCATCATTTCTCCCCGTATTATCATTAAGAAGGCTTTTATTGGTGAATGGTTTATATGAGGTATGTATGTAGGATAGACCAAACAGCAATTCAACATGTTTTTATTGTAGCAGGGGTGGATTCAAATTCCTAACTACCGCCTCTGGGTGCAGAGCAACTTGAATGATCCCATCCTCAACGTGTCAATGTCTTCCTTATTAAACGTGTCAAGCTTTAGATGCAATGATTGAATGTGTTGGCAGTCGCGAACAAACGAGTGTGCATCACCATCCAGTTTCTCGGCGTCTATAACGAGAGCTTTGAGATTGCTATGAGAGCAAATTCCAATGACATCATCGTATGCAATGGGTAGTGTTGGCGAGGACAACGTAAATCGTTCCAGAGCTAGGCATTTCGAAGCGACCTCGGCGATAAAAGGTGATACCACATGATCCAGCACGTGCGAGTCGTCACAGCGTATTTCAAGATGCGTCAATCGTGTCAATCGAGGAATCAAATGAAGCCATGAACTTGACGAGAGTTGTTCAAGGTCCAATGTGAGAGTAATTTCTTTCAAGCTTGATTGTTGATCCAATTGGATATGATGCTGGATGAATTGCTCTTCATTCACTTGATCTGTGTCATCCGCACGTAATCCAATCCTCTTGAGATGACGATGTTGCCGTCTAGGGCGCAACAGTTCCCGCATCACACACGCTTGCCAAGTACCATAAACCGTTTTAATTGACTCCAGATGAGGTGCATTGCGTATGATCCATATCAGAAAGGAAAGAAGGTTCTTGCGGCTGTTGAAAGGGTAACGTATTTCACGCAAACGTTTGAATGTCACTTGCCGAGTGGTTGTCGATCTAAGTATCATGCTTGGTGCTTCTAATGCATACTTGCTTTCCATTGTAATGGTCTCCAGCGTTTCAGCATGTTGCATGATCAATCGCACCAGGTCATTTTCTGAGAATACCTGACGTCTTTTTTCAATCTCGGATCGAGGCTGTACGCAGAGCTGATATCTTTTATCACCACATAGATGCAATAACCGTAACCCTTTCTCTTGGTGATCGCGTATAATGGCATCATCATCATCATCATAAACATACTGAGCGGAAACAAAGAGCTGTTGTAAAAGTGGACAATACTGTTGAATGACTGATAGCATTGCTGAATTCGATACATAGCCAAGTCGAAGGTACTTCAAATTAGGAAAGTGTCGAAGAATCGGTGAGAGGGTATCCTTTGCCATGTATAAGTTGGTGGTCAACTTGATGATGCTCGGGTATACCAAAGATGCCCCATCCATATCCATATCCCACAATGGGAAGGAGATAGCCATCAAATTCGGACACACATTCATGATATCGCATAGCCGGTATTTGGCGCTTCTTCCCATTGCGGTGCCAACGTGAAGGTGGGTCAATGCTCGGTTCAATGATAATAGAGACAGCAATACCTCGTTAGCGAGTCGTATAGAAGTAACTACATATGTTTATTAGCCCCTTTTCTATGTATCCCCTCCTTTTCTTCATTCCTTACCATGAAGACTCAATTTCTTTAATGAGTGAAATCTGAAACCTTCCGTAAGCGTAGTCACCACGTCGCGAAGTTGCTGCATGACAACGAGCGATTTGATAGCAGGAGCCATATCCAGCAATTGATGAGTCCCTCTCGGTGTTAATGGCGTAGGTCCAACGGTAAAAGTCAAGTCCTCAGCCATTGCGATTCTCTTTCGCCATGTGCGACACACGTTCAAATACGCATGTTGTTCTCCAATCCTGATAGATGTTTGGCCCTGGATTAGCCTTGGTACAATGTTGCAAACCACCACGTCCAAAGGTAACTTGCTTACAAAGTCGATACATCTGTTGATGCTATTGTTTGCAATAGCTCTTGCCCTGATGAGTTCACGGTATCTTGGATCATTGGTTGCAACGTGTCGTAATCCTTCGTCATAGACAGCAACAGCCGACTCGTATCGTTTCTCAGTAACATGGATATTTCCAGCATGCAGGTAGCCGAGAGGTGACCAAGGTGCAATACTGATCATGGCGTTCGCGTCATTCAAGGCAGCATTCAGTTGGTTGGAATTCAAGAGCCACAATGCCCTTGCATCAAGAGCTGACACAAGCTTTTCCACGCCATCGTGTACGTTGGTTGACAATTGGCCGAGTTGGACATTGCTGGTAGGGTCGTCGATCGTAATGGGAACACCGGTAGGAGGCAGCATGTGAAAAAGTGGTTGTGGTGGCGGATGCATAAAACAAGGCTCATGCACACAACAAAAAGGGCGCGCGTCATGTGACACAGCATTTGATTGGCCGATGTCTTATCCATCCTATCCATTCATACCCTTGTTTCTCGAACACTTTTATATGTAATCTAAGTTTATTATTATTCAACACGCATAAAAATATAAAAGATGGGCCATGGTAAAGACCCTGCCTGAATGGCACATTTTTTTGGGCTTATATGACCTTATCAGCTGTTGTCATCTTAACGGATTTGACAATCATACGCACTTGAGTTTGTGATGGAAATAGGTGTTTATACATGTTACCATAAGCTACTTGGTGGGTGAATATGAGTCAGCTATAGTAATGATGCGGTATACGGGGTTGGATGATGATTGCAGGAGTTGAGGCATGTGATCCCTAAAAGAGCATATGATGGTTGGATGATGGAAAAATGTTACCTGCTCCTGAACCCTATATTCTTTCATGTCCTTCTTGATGTCTGATAATAGATGATACGCACCAGGCTCATGTGTGAATACAACAATACAGCAGCTGGCGATGTTTAGTCTTTGTTTGTTACACGAAAACATCCAATAGTTATTTGGATAAACCTAAGCATCATGTCGCTTTCATCGTTTATTCTATGATGGAATCGTATCGAATCTACACTCTATGATAAGATGGTAGTACGTAGGTGGTCTCGCGCCAATCGAAGAATGTAGAGTTGATAAGGCCAGGATTTGCATATTAACTAACACTGCGCCGCACATGGATGATCTTCCACGCTTGCAGGAAAGAGTAGTAATTTTGAATAAAGGGTATGCTTGAACACCCACGTGATGCCATCACTGAGATGCTGGATAATGTATTAAAAGGATGGCATGGGACATAAAGAAAGCGTCTTCCAGCATTGTTTGGTGGTACACTGTTACACGTATTAGCATCATTTCTCCCTGTGTGCTATGATTCTACAACTTCATTCTGAATGCTTTAGGTCTGATACATACGCTGCCACGTATGATTGCGAGGGATCGGCAATTCTAAAATTGAGCAAAGTGAATCATCCACGATCAGCCCGAGCATGGCGTGGGATGATGATGATGATGATGATCGATAAAGAACATGTCCATGGATATGCAAACAAACAATCAACGAAGAAGCATTAGCGGGATCGTTTCCTTTCCTCATCCCCTCATTGAACTGGAAGATGCCCTGTCAAAAAAAGTATCATCCGTCTTCTCTTTTACGATGATTTCACATCTCTTGAAATACGCCCAATCAATGCATTTGCGATCCATGCTACAACTAGCAGCGATGAGTATTAGGAAAACGCCTTTGATTGGGGCACGAGCATTGATGAACGGATGGCCATTTTCGTGTCAAGAATAAAAAATTTGGATCGTGCGCATCATCCCAGCCTTCCAAGCCAGCTTTCTTTACACGACGCAACGCACGTTCCCTCCCAATGAGCTCCTCATTGACGAACACAACGCACCCGAATCGCAACAACATGCTCAGCAACAACTTTATTCAGCTAAAGGGGGTCAACGCTATGGGTAGGTTTGGGTTGTTACGTTGACATGATCGTGTACTTCAACATCGTCTGTTGCCATTGACCCCAACTGACCATGGAGACAAAGACGAGTACCAATTTACGCCTCCATACGGTAAGCTACCATGAAACTAGCTATAAGGTTATGCTATAATGCGTGGTTTGCTTATTATCTTTCGTTGCATAGATACGGTTTCCTTTCTTGGGCTGCCTTGTTGCCATGGCAAGTCAAGTCCCGCTCTCAGTAAGCTGCTGTTACTCCACCGCAACAGCACTACTTTTTATACTTGTCGCCTTTCTCTAAAGCTCTACGTTTACTCCTTGTGGACATTCCTCAATCGTCAACTGCCATTCGTTTTCTGTTCAGTCGGCATTCGTTTCTTGCTTACGCGTCTTTGCTTTCCTTGTTCGCTTGCTATTACTATCAAACGGTACGTGACGAGGATATGGGGTAAAAACAAATTGTATGCATTCCACAGCTGCTCACAATCATACAGGAGTTGGCATATGGGTTAATATGGAGGAGCACATGGTAAGGCCCAAGGGACGGTTATTTGTTCAAGCTACGCGTCAATATCGATCGTCAACAGCTACTTGTTCAAGCACCAATTTTCGTATTCCAATGGTTTCTGTCGAGACGTTATCGGGTGGTTCTGCTATTTGATCAATCATCTTTTCTATTGGCTGTGTTCCGTTGGGATGATGATGATGACGATGGTGATTATGTATATCTGGACAATGGATTTTACGGATTAGGCTGTTCAGCGCGCATGTGATTGCGTATGCAGCAATGTGGGCATCTGTATGTGTGGAGAATGGTATAATGGATATGGTACGATCTCTCCGGAACCCCTCGTTTTGCTATCTGTATCAGCGTTGGCTTGTTGTTTGTGACAATAAAATGGATCAACATAAAATCCTAACGATCAATGTTACTGGCTTATGGTCAACATGTTGATCCTTATAGTGTAAAAAAATTGATTGAGGTGGCATATCTAAAATACTGCTTTAACCCTGACCGGTGGTCGGATAAAAGATCTAGTATCATTTGCTCGGTGATGATGATGATGATGATGGCGGTCTCAGTGTATGTTTTGTTTATTCCATGCGGAAGTTTCTTAATGATAAAAGTTGGGATAGCATTTAATGTGAGTGGTCTTCCCCTGATACATAATAGAACATGAAATAGGATTTGAACCGATTACTTGTCTATTGATTGAAAGCTGTACACCACGTTGATCATATAAAAGACATGCCTTTGTTGCCTTTGTTTACCCCTTGTCATTGTGATGATGGGGATAGATGACATGGAGCACACCATGCAGCTTTGTTTGGTGGCACATTGTTCTATACAAACATTCATTGTCTTTAAGCCCCATTACTCACATAGGAAAGCATTTGTCACATATATACGTGGCATTTCTATGTGAGCATAATGGATGTGATGAAGATGGTCGATAAGGTAAGGGAGATGAGGGCAATCCGGATGTATGTGTTCATGCTACCACATTTCTTGTCATTGAAAGTTCGTAGTTGTATGGGTATCATCTGAGGTCCTAAACCATTTCCTTTGATGTTTCATTCGTTATCTCCGGATCTTTGGTTTTTATTTCAGTAAAAGGTGTGATATTGGGAGTATACATGATGATGACATAAATAGCACATGTACAAACATCAGCATGTTGTCATTTGATATAAAAGGCATTGATTTTATTGTGGACGCCATGGTTCAATGACTACAGTATGGATGGCGCTTCGCAGGCGACGCATAGTAATAGGATCAATAAAGCGATTGATGCGTAACTCCAGATGCCGCAAATTGTTCATCTTTGCCAAAAAGACCAAGCTGCTATCGGAAATGATGGATGCATGGAGAGTGAGCCGATTGAGGTTGTGAAATGACATCAATGCTTCGATCACGCATGTTTCAATTGTAGGCATGGAGGATCCATCCGCTGTTTCATCTGCCACCAGCTTTAGCGATTTTAAATTCTCACATCCTCTTGCCATTTGTTCGAAGAAGGGTGCAAAGGTATCCAGAATCCGCTTGGGGATGCAGAGCTCAAATGATTCAAGGTTCTGAAGATTTGCCATTTCTCGAAACCAAAGCGCGTTGCACATGGTGTTTGTAGTTGACACCTGAATATGGCGTAATGTGGATCGGTTGCCGAGACGAACATGATGTTTCATAAAAGGCAAAAGCGTTCTGGGATCGTGCGTTTTAAGGTTCAAGGTGTGGACATGTTCGAGGTGTATGATGGCGTCGATCACCAAAGCATCCATTGCTGGATCGTGTAGCGTGATAGATTGAATGTGAGGAGCATGTTGGATAACCCATAGTAAAAAAGGAATACAAGAGGCATCGACATCGTTGAAGCTGATAACGCGTAGTGTTGTGAATGAACCAAATGCCAACATCGTCAACGCTAAGCGATCATCCCCATTATCGGAGAACATGCCCTGGTATTCAAAGCTGCCAAGGGAATCTGCATATTGGATCATACACAAGGCAATGCTTTCCATTGTCAAATTCAATTGATGATTTGCCACGCATATCCTTCTGCTGATGTTGTTGCTGGTGGTTGTGGTGGTCGCTGTCGGTGTATCACGACATGGACGATCACTATCCCAATATACAAGTTGTTCAAGCAAAGGGCAATGATAATAAATCTGAGCAAGTATACTCGGCTCGAGTGATGGATTGATGGCGAGAAACGTCAAGAATGGGAACATCGTCAGCATGGTAATCAACCCATTTTGGGATGTGATACGAGGTGGTTCTTGAATGATCCTCAGATGGCGCATCTCTGTACACTCGATATTCGATGATAACGTAAGTGGGATCCTCTCAATGGTCAAGGAAACGAGGTTGTCACAGCAACTGACAATGTCGCTGAGATTGACGCTGCATCCATGCGATGTTGAATAATCCTTGTTCCTGATGATGGAGAGGTGTCTGAGTCGACTGCCCAACATTTCCAATGCACTTTTTAGTCTTGTAGGAAAAAGAATCTTTGATCCACCATCCACTATAAGGTGTCGGTTGAGTTATTGAATTACCATATCCCTTTACTCCCATCTTTACATACATACCTTGGATATTCAATGTCGTGAGTTTTGTAAAGTTGCCACGTGTAAACAAATCGCAAAGCGACGGTCCTCCTTGACGTGCACAAAATGAAGCAAGCCCATTTACTTTGCCGTGCACATCCAATCTCGTCACAAAGGGTGAAAAACGTAAAAGATGATGATGTCCTTCGGTAAGCGTCTCAATGTTGGACGTCTTTGCGTAAAATGTCAATCCATCGGTCACTTGGAGAATACGCTGATGCCATGCACGGGACACATAAAACAAAGGGGATCGTTTGTTTGAATTGAATGGCATGATGGAATCCATGATCCTCGGCGTAAGATTACAGGCGACAATGTCTAATGGCAACTTGCTAAGAAAATCGACTCGTCTGCTGGTGATTTCCTTGGCGTCATCCATGATAGCTTGTAATTGATGATAACCAGGGTCATCGTGTGCCACAGCAGCCAATCCTTGATTGCACATGTCAATGACTGCCCACTGCCTTCCTTGGCTCGAATATACATTACATGCACGTAAATAGCCTAAGCAGGATCGAGGTGCCATTTCTCTCATGATAGCTGCATCCTGAAGAGCCAAGTCGTATTGCACACAGGCTGTCAAGCTGACGGCACGATCGTTGAGTTGTTGTAACAATTGACGAATCCCGTTTCCAATAGCGCATGTCAACTCGGTAATGAGGATGGCGTGTTCACAGTGGTCGACAGTAATGCTGTGTTGGCGGCACAAGCTTTCCCATCTGGATTCAGGCATTGTGAGTTGTGCGTGGTGACAAAAGAAGGGCTGACGAAGGAGCTGCTGAGCTGAAACGCTTTATCCAGGTGCTGTGTAACCATGCCCACCATTCATCCCCATCCTTTTATCATTGCAAATAGCGCACACACCACAACTACCCATACCAACCCCACTCACGATCCTTCTCAAATGGATGTGACATCAAATGAAATACATAAAATAGCGTACACAGAAAGCTACAATAAAGCTATCAAGCTGTTGGCATGCATGTTAAGAACCGAATATGGAAAGTGTGGTTGTACAACTATGCTAATCCATCATGTTTTTATCTTCCAGGACCACCATTCATGGATTGCACTTATGTTGACGTGGCATAATAGCACCTCAGGGGTAAGCTGTCTCTGACGCTGCTGCCAAAGAAACGCTAACACCCTAACGATTTCGCATTCCAGGGGAGAATTGCAATCATGCAAGACAAGTGACAATCATACAGGCTCATGATAGAATGATGTATTTTTTCTTTGATGGTGTGTATTTGTGTACGCAGCAAAAGTGATAACATGTAGAATATCCTGAACAATGCCGCCTATAAACAAGTGGATGAATGTCAATGTAGTACATTACTTTAGCGTATCATGGAAAATTGTTGATTACATGGATTGAAAATTGTGTATTTGTAAGATTGGGTATAAGAGTGATTCAATGTCCTATGTATGAAATGTAACTTTCAAGTGACACAATGATACCATGGATACTACTGTAGCATGCTACGATATACCCAAAGCTGTGTATGGTAGCACCTGGATACCATTAATGAAGCCGTCATCGCTCAATTACGGAAAGTATGCTGGAAAAAGTGCTGATGTTAAAGATAAAGATGAGAAGCCATGACTTTTGGCTTGGCTGAATCTTGTCTATGGTACGTTGGTGAATGGCATGTCGTATTAAGTAACAGCCTAGGAGTATTCTCATTGATGAGGAACTACTATTGGCTGGTGTGAGCCTAAAAAGCGTTATTGGGAATCGTGAATCTCTTCCTCTTCCTACACATGAGGCATGGCAGTGGATTACATGGCAGGTATCAAAGAGCTTTATTAGTAATGTTAAAGCTGGAGAGAGGGTATTCAAGGGATTATCCAAATGTAAGGCTTCAAAAGGAAACATACCCATTGCTGCCGGTAATCCTCAAGTCAGGCCGTTGTCCTTGGAGATGTCGAATATCATCCTTGTTGCCTGGCTTTTCTCGATAGATCTCGATGCATTTGAGTTGCGAAAACGTTTGCACGGCATACCAAAAGTCGCTCTCCCCTTCGGTGTTAAAGACTGAAAATGCAAGTTTCTCCAAATGGGTGAGCTGTTTCAAAGCGTTGATTGATTCGGTGGATGGCGGATTGATGCAGTTGATCTCAAAGCAGGTTAAATGACGACAGCCTTTCAGAAGCCCACCAATAAACCTTTCCATTTGGCAGGGATCCCAAACATGATGAAAGCGGACCATTAGGTGTCGTAGCTGACTTAGTTGATGAATTGCACTTAACATGTTGTCGACGTCGTTTGCGGTGGTGAAATCAATAACGAGTTCTTTCAAATATGGATGATGTATAAACCGGAGCAGGTATCGTTCGATGAGAGCTTTCTGATCAGCGTCATGTGTATCGGCAATTTCCAAATGTAGCTTTTTTAGATCGTTGGGGAACACATCAAGCACAGAGGAGTTGGCAGTAAGCACTTCAGCTGATATCTTCAATTCTTCAAGCATGGGTGCATGTCGCGGTATCCACCACCCGGAGTTATCAAGGCAAAGTCTTTTCAGTTGACGATAATCAACATTGTAGATATCCTCAGGCTCTGATCCAAGTTCCACGTCGAATTGTAGGCGTTCAAGTGTCATTTGATGCTGCTTTAGTACGTAATTGATTGACTGCCAGAAAGCACCGTCCAGATGAGTCATCATGATAACAAGATCCGTAATCCCATTCTCTTTAGACATAGGGCCTTGGTCTGACAAAGTGATTTCAAAGCCTATAGCTTCCTTGTAAAGTGTAAGGCTGTTCATCCATGGATAGTAGTCCAGAATATCACGTGTTGATTGTATGTCGCTGCATGGAGAAAGTGAAAGCTTCTTGAGTGATGGCAAACGCTTTCCAATCGCCATGATCTCATTATAGGTAATGTCCCTTTCTGTGTAAATGGATAATGTCGTCAAAGTGGTGCATGTCATCATTGGAAGCGAGCTGATATCATCAACGGACTCGAGAAACAATTTGAGTGACACGAGATTGGAGCAGTTGAGCAGAACGTCGCCTATGGGTAACACGACCCCACTTGGACGTACAATTTGGAGATGGGTCAAAGTGGTGCTGATGGACCTGAATGACGAAACCAAGTGATCCACACAATCGGCTGTGAAGTCTTAAAGGGCAAGCGTTAAATATAAACCCAATAGAAAACCAATACAATGTCAACTTACGATCAATCAATAGCTCATGCAATGAGCAAAAGTCATTATTGCGTATTAGATCACCAAGCCATGTCCCTTTAGTAAATTGTCCAATGTTCAATGATATCACATGCCGAGAAAATTTGGCGATTTGCGAATCGTTTCCCATGTATTCCATTTCCTCACAATCAGTCATAAAGCGTAATCCATCCAGCGACTGAATAACACGTTCACGCCATTGATTAGATACATGCAAGTACGGCCATGGTGTAAATGGCTGCAAACACCAATAATCGGTAAACATTGGGATGATGGTCATGACAACAATGTCGCATGGCAGCTGAGTAACAAAGTCAATGCATACGTTTTGGCGTTGTTCGGCATCCTCTTTGAGTCGTCGTAATGTATCATAGTGCGTATCCATGGTATCAGCCATACTCAGGCCCTTGCCGCAAATATCGATCACATGATGCTGTTTTCCTTGCTCGCTGTAAATCTTGGCTTCGCATAAATAACCAAGTGCTGAATAAGGCGAGAGTTGTTGTATAAGCTTGGCATCGCGAAGGGCCGATTCAAAGCTAGCAAGCTTTGTGAATGCCAAAGCACGCCGATCCAAAGCTGACAAGATGGGTTCAAGGGATTGGTGAAGTTGAGATGTTGAATCGTGAAGAAGCTTTGTATATTTCTCAGTGGAGACTGCGAGTGTAGGCTGCTGGTAAAACTCGTCCCAAATAGAGCGTGTCATTGTGAAGGGGAAGAAGGGTGAGGTTCACCAGTGCCAAGTCTAGCCCCGCCCAAGTATAAAACCCATTGGCTCTCAGTCAACACAGCCCCTTTACTCCTTTTATTTCAACAACACCACTTTCTACTTGACGACCTTCTCTAAAAGCTTTACCTTTTGTGCTCCTTGCCAACATTCCACGTTCGCCATGCCACATCAGATTGGTTGCCAGTCAACATTCGTCTCCTGGTTACGCGCGTCATCGCCTTGCGTGTCGGCTTCTTGCCTGTACGTGTTTCAGCTTATTTTAATACACCCAGTTTCCAGCTTTACATTTCGACTAAGACACCTTGCTAAAATACGCTTGTCAACAATTGCCGTTCCTCCATTGCGCTCAAGATCTTGGTGTTGAGCTTGGTCATCTTGAACAGCAACTCCAAGAGCACCCAACGCTAATCTTCAGCATAAATCTGCTACCAACACACGAGACGCTTCACACAAGCTTGCATCAATACACTTTGCGATAGCTACAAGCCGAGGTACGTCAAGAAAAGTGGGAGGCAATGTTGGTATGGTACATTCAAGGGTTGTTTGCTTCCAGCTCCTGATGCTTATCACCTTCAACAGGCTTGTCCAAGGTTACCAAGCGATATCACCAGCACCCAGATGATGAACGAATGGTCGCGAACTTCGAAAGGCTTTTCTCCAAGCATGCCTTCATCTCAATTTTTCATCACCTCTTGGCATCAAACGCTTGTATTTGCTGGTGGTACCGTTGGATTGGAGTCATGGTATGACGATGCCCACTTTGTATCGCTATTCGCAGAGCTCAAGTCTTTTATAAAGGTTCTCGCAGTAAACGTGGTACGTTTGTATGAGGTGGGAATTGAGGTAACCTTGGGAGCTATGCATGTTGGATGATGGCAGAAGGGATATGGTAAGATTTTCAAGGGTTGTATGCTGGTGGATGATGGGTATTGCTTGTTAGTTAGCTGTGGTAGGGTAGCTTTTTCAAGTTTTCGACAATAAAATGATTAACTGATAATTGGTAAGGACATCACAGCATCACTGGGAATGGATGATGAGTACAATGGAAATAACAACATGCAGGACCTATTACACAAGGTTGTTTATCATCTTGTATGCATGACTCTATTTTCTTACCGCTTTATACACATGCGTGAAATGATAAATGCTCTATTGCTTGCTACACGATAATGCGCTTATGTTTAAGCAAACAGGAAACAATGGAATGACGTTGGATAGTTGATGAAACAAAGCAAGGTTTTATTATGCAAGGAAAAAAGGGAGCAAGGAGTGATCGCCACAATAAAGCTGAATGCATCAATGACAAAGGATGTCGATAGCAGGGATGCGATAACGTTTTGGTTGTTGGATGGGTGATCAGTAGGTGTATTTTTGGGTTCGAATTGCTACACCAGGTATTTTACGCTTCAATTGTGCAATGCCTTCACGGTCAAAGTACTTGAGCTTGAGATGCAACGAATCAAGGTGCTGAAAATGACCCAAAGTAGCTAACATCCCATGGGGTAGTCTCATGGAGGCAATGACTAGGACTTTGAGATGCGGGTGTTCAGATAATGGTAGAATCCAATCTCCATCAAATGGAAAAAGGGGAAGTATCAACGTAAACTTTTCAAGGGATATACACCCACGTGCGATGCGAAGAAGAAGTGTTTTGAGCAGGTAGACATGATTGGTGTACAGTGACCCACAAAATTGTTCAAATGTTTTGTACTTTTGCATAAATCGTTTCCTGGCGCATTGCCATGCATATAAAACATAGTGATATTATACATCATTCGATAGCGTATCTAATTGGGCACATAATGCAATTCACGTGATGTGTGGAACATTGAAATTCATGCAGCTAGCGGGGAATCAATAGCGTCGATACACTTGAACAATTTTGAGGGTACTTCACCAATATTACATAAATGAACATCTACAACATGTGGAGCCTTTATTCTTTATAATGTTATTGATAAGCCACTAATAAAAGTTTTTACTGCCTTGAGCATGGCCTAGGCCCTTTTCCCTTCGACTTCACTTATAAGTAACTTTTATTATGCGTCCAATCAGTAACCAGAAGAAAGAGGATGTGAAACATCTTCTACAACAAGGTACACCATACCGCGAAATCTCTACACTCACTGGTGTCTCCCTTGGAGCTATTCGAGCTATTCGAAAGGACCTGAATGTCGACATTGAACCTAATGGAGCTGGTCGAAAGCGCATAATGTCAAGCAATGACATTCGTGTTGTCATTCGGAAACTCGTAACTGGCGAATACAAGAGTGTTGAAGACGCAAGCCGTCAGCTCCGAGCTACCTACCCCAACAAGGTGACCCCAAGTGCTGAAACGATTCGTCGTGAAATGAAGCGTCTCAATTACACCGCAATTAAGAAGCCCAATGTGTTGCCATTGACCCGATCGCGTCGCAATGCACGATTCCGGTTCGCGCAAGCATATCGTTCTTGGACTGTAGAGGACTGGAAACGTGTTGTTTTCAGCGACGAGACAAAAGTGAACCGTTTGGGAAGTGATGGCCTTCATTGGACTTGGATTGATCCTGATGGCAAATTACGTGAACGCAATGTTATCCATACATATAAGCATGGTGGCGGAAGCATCATGATCTGGGGCTGTTTTTGTTGGTCAGGGCCCGGGTTTATCACCAAAATTCAAGGAACCATGAATGCCGACCTCTATTGCAGCATTTTGGATGATGAATTCAAGCAATCATTGGAATATTACGGCCTTGAAGTGAATGACATCATCTTTCAGCAAGATAATGATCCTAAGCACAAGTCCCGGAAAGCCACCCAATGGTTCCAGGATAATGGTGTTGAGGTCCTACCATGGCCATCGTACTCTCCAGACCTCAATCCTATCGAACATATGTGGGCAGAGCTCAAACGCAAGTTGCTTCTCTATGATGAGCCTGCTAAGTCCATGACCGAGTTCTGGGAAAGGGTTTCCTATACCTGGAACAAGTGTATGACGAAGGAATACTGTGAGAGACTCATAGAAAGCATGCCACGACGTATAGAAGCCTGTTATAAAGCAAGAGGAGGCTATACTAAGTATTAATAAAACATGTTCTAGTTCCCCTCAAAATTGTTCAAGTGTATCGACTCTATTGATTCCCCGCTAGCTGCATGAATTTCAATGTTGCACAGATCACGTGAATTGCATTGTGTGCCCAATTAGATACGCTATCGAATGATGTATAACATCACTATGTTCTAAATGCATCGCAATGCGCCAGGAAACGATTTATGCAAAAGTACAAAACATTTGAACAATTTTGTGGGTCACTGTATATAGGACGGAGCTCCAGGACCTTGAGTTGCTGTAATAGTGGAATCGAGAATAGCCAATTATCACCGCTGTACGATGGCTTGTTGATAGTGCACTTGAGCTCTTGGAGTGTTGACACAGTACTTAGCTGTACATGATGGTCAAGGAATCGTTGCTCATCCACATCGCTAGATAATTCCGAGTATTCCAAAGTAATTGTTGTCAGAGGACGGCCAATCAATGCATTCAAGATTTCCCCTCGTACACCTCCTCGCATACATTCCACATATTGGATACAAGGCGCATTTGATACTATCCATGTAAGAATATTGATGCCCCCTTGTCCCAAAATTGTGGGGAATCGCAAGGAGCGTAGCTGATTGAATACCACACGATTGTTAGCACGTCGCACGATAGGGGAGTACATGAAACAACGGCCTTGCAATGAAAACGACTGAAGGGTAGCGTGATGGTTCCTCATCAAGTCTTCAAAAAGGTTTCCCTTGAGCGAAACATCGTGAATCGATAATAGCCGTAATCCTTGTGTGTCGTCTAGGTGAAGCCGCGAAATCTCTGTGTCTGATGCACGATGCTCAACACCTAGATAGAGTTGCTGAAGGTGTGGGCAATATTGAAAAATCGTATGCACAGCTTCGTGGTTGGTTGGAAGGCTCGTCAATCCCAGCAGACGCAAACCAGGAAAATGCTCAATGAATCGTACATCCCTAGAAGGACCTGGTGGATTGTAGACAACTTGAAGGTGCCGTATGTTAGGATACATGCGTTCAGGATGTAGCGAAGAGGTGAAATGGAAGTCTTCAGTCATTGAAATCCTCAATTGAACAATCGTCGTGCATTGATCGAGCATGTCGCATAATTGCAGTGAATTCGGTTGCACTTTGAACATGATAGATAGGTATCTTAGGTTTGGGAGCGATCCAAGTAGTTCCATCCATGCCATGTGAAACCCTGTTTCTGAATATGAAGGGATATGAGTTTTGATGGATACATTTAGTACATGACCAACGGCCTTACCCTTGATTGTTAAATTGCGCAACGACGAAAAGTGTGCATATTCCACAAGCTTGAAAATGGATCTCACGCTACGGGTTGCTACAGTAAGCGTTTTGATGCAAGGGGCCACTGCTCGCACACGCATCCAATCGAGTCGAAGCGACAACCGCTCGCTTTCAAGATTGAAACGAATGCTTTTGTCGTTTTCAGCGATCCGTTTGCTCCACGTCGTACACACTGAAAAGTAATTTTGTCGCCCATGTAGGTTAAAGGTTCGACCATGGCGTTCCATGATCCTAGGAACAATGTGTTCGGCTACAATTTCCAATGGCAACTCGCTGACGAAATCAATCGGCTTTTGGGAAAAAGACATGATGATGAAAGTGGTAAGAAAAAGAACAAAGTGGGAAAGTAGCAAGCTGGGATTGGGAGGTGATGGGAAGCTGAAAGTATCGTTGCTCTGCATCAAACTCGCATGACAGATGATTGATTGGTTCATCTTCCATCTTCCATCCAGGATATCATGTATCCCATTGCACGCCTATCAGCTAGCCAACATGATTTATCACCGATGATGTTACCACCTTTGATTGACATCTTTCCTTGATCATTTATCAATACCCCACCAGTGAGCAATGACGTAGTAAAGAAAAGCAGCTTTATATTGAAAATCATGCGAGTAATGATGGATGGGTGCTAATTGATTACTGTAATCCTCCCCCCTGCGAATTAGTGGTGATGCCTCGTTCTCTGTGTGTATACGAATTCGAATGTTGAGCTCTTGAATATAGCGTAAATTTCAGCGTCCAACAAATAAAGGTCGAGATGAAATTCTTGCAGGCGTTGAAGACGTTGTATAAAGGAAGGTAGCGACGATGGATCACCACTCAAATGAGTGCTATTGATGATAAGGGTCTTGAGATTGGTATGACACGATATGATGCTGATAATTTTGTAGTCAACAGGTGATTCTGGCGACATCCATGTAAAGCGCTCCAATGCAGGGCAACCAGAAGCGATCTTGGAGATAAAGGGTACTAGAACGTCACCCATTACCGAGGATCCTTTACAGCAAACTTCAAGCTGCCTCAATTGTGTAAGTTGCGTAATCAATAGGATCCATGAATCTGATAGCGAGTGCTTCACGACTTCGATATGGATCACTTCCACGTTCGATTGATGGCCACAACTGATATGGTGTTGTATAAAGCGCTTCTCATTCTCTTGCGAAGACCCATCTGCCTTTAATCCAATCCTCGTAAAATGTTGATGGTTTGGGTTCATGAGCTCTTGAAAAACAGGCGCCTGCAAATCTCCATATATGGTATCCACTGATCTCAGTTGAGGAGCATGCTGTAGTAACCAAACGATCAAAGGGATGTAACACTCGTCGACATGGGAAGGATACGATATTTGGCGCAGTCGCATAAATGTCATTTCGATGTTCATCTCTTCTTGCAATAGGAGGCTTGATGAAAATTCAAAGCCGGCTCCAATGTCGATGCTCTCAATAGTATCACTATGCTCCACGACGTATCGCATCATATCATCGCCCCTGAATCTTTTTCTTTTTCCCGGATCCCTCACAGCCAATACACGTAATCCACTATCATCGTCTTGTATGTCACCAATATCAGGGAGAAAACGAGGTAGCGTATTTGAAAAGACGAGTTGCTGTAATAATGGGCATGCTTGTTGAATGGCTGGCAAGATGGAAGAACTTGGCGTGGGTATGATGCTCAACAGGCGTAGTTGAGGAAGCGGTCGAAGGAATGCATACATTGTATCCTCATCCATCGATACGTTGGCATTGCTGAGGTCCAGTTTTTTGAGCTTTGGGTACTGAGAAAATACAAAGGACGTATCAAATCCTCCATTTGAAATCGATAGCGCTGCCAGATTCGGACATGCTTCGAGATAATCGCATAGTCGGTATGGCGTTTCAGATGTACATGAGTATCCATAGTCCATAGTGAGCTGTGTCATTGATGCGCCCAATGCATTTAAAAGTGGTAGCAATCTGATGAGTGGTCGTGAATGAACGCCTACTCAGGTATATAAGATGTTGGCTCTGAATTCTTTCTGTATCCCGTTCCTTACCGTCAACATGTAATTTCTTCAGTGCTGTAAACGTGGTGCCACCTGTTAGATGATCCGCTATTCCTTCATGAAGACCCCACACAGCAAATGACTTGATATAAGGTGCCATATCCAATAGCTGGTCATATTCCTTTGCTGATAAACCCTTAGACGAAGACCTTGGGAAAGTGCCAACACGAAACGTGAAACCGTCTGCCATTGCTATCCTCTCCCGCCATGTACGAGACACGTCCAAGTAACGTCCTTCTTTTCCAATATCGACCACGGTCTGACCATCGAAAATCCTTGGGATAAGGTTTGAAAGCACTATCTCCAATGGCAACCAGCTGAAAAAGTCGATACGCGTATTGATCTTTTGTTGTGAAACCGCTTTTGCTGATAAGAGCTGCGCATACTGATCATGTAGTCTTGGTACGTGTTGCAACCCATCGTCATAGATCTTGATAGCTGACGCGTGTTGTCCTCGATAAGAAAAGATTCTTCCTGCACAGAGATAGCCAAAGGGTGAAGTAGGCGCAATACTCATGGTGGCTGCTGCATCGCTCATGGCGTCATTCAGCTGTCCACAATTAGCAAGTAGCGATGCTCTCGAATGAAGGGCTGACACAAGCGTTTGAACGCAATCGTGTACGATGGTTGACAATTGATCGAGCTGCACATTCCTTGTTGGGTGGTCAATCGTAATGCGAACACCAGTTGCTGGCAGCATGTCAAGAACGTGTGGAGTGGACGAAGCAGAAACAATGCTCATGCATGCACTTGAGTGCACAAGGAAATGAAGGACATTCTGTAACACGGCATTTGATTGGCCGACAAGACTCCCAATGCTACCCACCCGTATACTCTCCTGCTCAACCACTTTTATCTGTAGCCAATGTTTACTATCATTCATGTAATATAAAGAATAAAGGCATCGACTTTTGTACAAATACAAATCATTTGCATACGTCTTCCATCGCAAAGTTCCATCGTCAGTGATGATGATGATTGCAGTAAATAAAGCACGTGACCACATCAAAGGTATAATAGCTGCACCAGACATACCCCGTCTTTCTTTATTTCAGTGCTTGCTTCATCTATAGCGAACCAATGGTACGTTTCACATACTTGTAGTCATATTACAGTGGCCCCTCATGGAGAACTATCATGCATCATTTGTTTGTTATGTATTCCTTTCTTCATCATTGTCATGATCACAGTAATTATGCATAGGTAACAGGATTCAGGTGAAGAGGGTCAACAGGTGCTCTAGAGTAAAGCAAGCACGACAACATGAAATGCGTACAGAAAACGGCTTATTGGCATTGTATCGATCAATGGTAGTAACCTTTATCCTGGTACAGGACCATGTGACGCCATGGCAACGAGCGAAGTAAGCGGGATTCATTGACTTTCAGTGGCGTACACACACAATGTTACAACACGACACCGAGTATGGGATTAGATTATGCATTGCTAATGGATCGAGCAAAAGAGGATGGTAAACAAATCCTCCCTTGTATTTATTTCCCATGCCTTACCTGCCGGATGAAATGGATGCACACGCCGTAAATGGTGGTTGGCAAGGTAACATACAGGCAAGCACGACATGGACGAAACGCATGATAACATAACGTGGCGTACTTTATAACCAACAGCGCGTTGACATTTGCAACATACCAAGCAATTACATGTATACACGTGATCGAAGGCTTATTTTCAAGGGGTGTCTATCATTCATTCTGGTACTAGCTGAAATGCAAGAGCGCAAACCATTATACGATGGTTGTTTCTACATTATACACCTACAGGATGGATCACATGACAATACGAGGCCTCACGCCCGATTCTTATTACCCGTTTCAGGATATCATGTGCCATTTTACGCCAACTTCAATAACTGTATCCAAGAGGATTATCTCTCATACTGGAGATGAAAAAGCAACAACAAGCTTTCAAAGGCGATCACCGTTATTGGCGAGAAGAAACGAAGGATGATGTCAACAACCGGCAACTGGATGAAGGATTATAAAACAACATATGATGTTGGCAGACCGATCAGGAATGCATACGGATATCGACACCATTTCACGGCGTTATTCTCATTCAAGGCAACAAATTTACCACTAGCTACTTCTGGTACCACACGTGAATCGTACGATGATTATCACGTGTGTCTTGGGTATGCCAAGGGTGCAAGCATGCAACGTGTCATCCAGGGTGATGAATTTAGGCTTGCTACAAGGTTCAAGGATTGCTTACCAAGGATTATGATGATGACTCCATATCCAATTGTGGTCCTCACGAGTTTGGTGGTTGATCAAATCCAAGTCAGCCTGCTATCCCTGGGGACATACATGACATACGCCATTTTTTCAACGTTATAACGTTGTTGTCATCTGGAATACATCGCTTGCGATTGAGCAAGTGGCGCCTTTATATTTTCCTTACGCTGACATAACCATGCTGCCGTAAACGTAGTCTTCCCCCAACGCTAGCCCTAACCCCAGCCCTATCCCACCTATGAACCCCAATCTCTTGAAACTTTTTTTTTTTGGGTTGGCATCGACAAACGCGAAATTTGCGATTGCTCATGATGACCG